GCGACGGTGAAACCTCTTGAAAATCGAGCTCTGATCCGCAGAGAGCTCTATCTACTACTGGTATTAACCGTGGCCAGGATACTGGCCTTGGGGGGGCGCTGTCTTTGCAAAACCCTGCGCCACTGCCTCCAAAAGACTTAATGTCCCGGCGATGGATGCTAGTAGTTCGAGCAAATGCCACTAAATGAAGCCTTTCGGTCAACAAGTTCCACCCAGTAGCCATTCGGATCATAGGCAAAAGCAATGCCTCGCATGTTGCCATCCTGGGGCCTCTTCTTGAACTGGACGCCTTGTGCCTCCATCTTGTCGCACGACTCCTGACAACATGAACCAGGCCGGGTTTGGGGCTTGGGCCAACTTTGCCTTACCAGGTTTGCCCGCAAGGAAAGACGAAATACAAGTAGGTGGGTAGTGTCAGACCCTGTGAGACTCAAAAACACTCCGGCCACGGCATTCTCAGGGCTTCGACTGGGCATGCAGAAACTCAATGTCTCCACATTTGCATTGTCTGTTGTGTTTCGGGCCGCCTGCAGATTGTCCATAAGGAAGCCGATGTGGCCAAATCCCTGAGGCTGAGCATTCCCATCGTGAACCTGGCAGCACTAGTTGATTGGGACATGTTCGGAGCTGCGCCTCTCTGCGGCATGACATCGAACCATTCCCAGGCCTTGAAATCCGGGTCTTTCTCGGTGCCGTGGTTCCACGTGAGTTCCAGGCACTGGTTCCTTCACTGCAGCAACAAAACGGGCAGAAAGTCAGAGAGACAAAAGAAAGAGACTGCACCCTCCAGCAATCATCAGAATCGTTACAGTAGACGAAGTCCACACGTTTCCAAGGCTCCAGGCGATCTTTGTCAGAGTGTTGGGAACCTCCGGATTCAAGCCATCGGCATGCTTGTTCTCAGGATCGAGTGCAAGACATTCGTCGAGTTCTGCCGGGGTGAGCGACGCCAGGAAGTATCTCAGCGCAGCATAGCCCAGCAACAAAGCAAAGACGAAGCTCTCGAGTTTTCTGCAGACACCCCGTGCTTGAAGTCAGAGAGGGAGAGAGGGAGAGCGAAAAAAACAAAAAAAAACGAGAGCTTACTTCACTCCTTGCCTCATCTCTGAGGTCCACAATCGTCATGAACAGCGTCCCCCAGACCCCGCATAGTAACACGCAAACATACGCGAAAAGGCCCCTATTGATCAGGCGCAACTGCCCGGCCCATTGCTGCACGACTGCCGAGCATGAGCTCCTCTGATCTGCCGAGGCGCAAGGAAAACTTCCACTGGGGAAAGTCCATCTTTCGCAGGAGCGTCATTCCCAGGTGCTTGGTGTAAAACTCTACACTGGCAGGGCCGTCTTTCCTGAGTTGCAGTGCCCGTGAACAACTTTCCCAACTGCAGAGGCATGCTTATCGATGCTTCTCGGACTGCCACGAAGGTGCACGCGAAGCATAGTCTGGGAGAGGTTGTAATACTCTTTCCATCCCAACTTCTCACGTCGAACCTGGAAGTGGGGCGTCTGGGGCATCTTCAGTGTGTTGTAGCGTGGCGTGCACTCGGGCCAAATCATTGGTTCGAGGGACAATCTCCACCCAGTATCCATCAGGATCCAGTGCAAAGGCCAAGCCCTTCATTCGGCCTTCATCCGGCTTCTTCTGGAACTTCCTGGGCATGGTTTAGAAGTTTAGCAAATGTTGTGAGGCTGAGAAGGGGAGATGGGACATCTAGGGGAGAGTGCATCTAGAAGAGGAGCACCCATGCACAAAGCAAACAGCGGCAGGACAGCACAAATCAGCACAAGCAACACTCATGTCTGTTCTCTTTTGTTTGTAAAAGTGCACCTCATAGGCACACCTCATGGGTGCCAGACGGCTTTGTTGCCCCATCAACATATGCAGCAGTGCAAAAAGCACCGATTCTCAGTGGCACTGCATCCAAGGAATTGTGCTGCCTAAAACCCGAGTCGAAGAGGGGCGGTTCTGTCGGTTCCAGTACTGCACTGGAACGTTTTGTGAGCTCCTCGACCAGCCATGTCACACCCGGCAGTGTTTCGGGCTTCCTCGAAGTTTAGCACATTTTCCGCCAAACGACACCCTGTTGACAAAAACAAATCACGCGGGATGCCTGCCCCCATCGAAGCATGAGGTAATTACATCGAACTCGGGTATCTGAACCAACTGCCGCCGAATGAGCTCAGCAGTCTGGCTTCTTTTTCTCGGGAAGCTACGGCTACGGGCGTCGATGACATCTCTTGCATGCTGCTTTGTAGGTCATTTACTTTCAAGCCCCTCGATCCAGCATTTGTGCACAGAAGGAATGAATGCAAGGATTCGCTTCAGTGGCATCGCTGTCAAGACAGGCTGGCACTGGCACTGAAAGCCGATCTTGGGGAAGGCGGACTTCCGTACAGGCACAATCTTGGCTCCCTTTACAAAGGCACTCCTCATCTGATGGGCACTTCTACATTCTGACACTCATGGCAGCTACGAGCCCCAGAGTGCTGTCAGGTTTTGGGGAGGAAGCTACAGCTGACATGACGTCAACCTAGTCTGGGACTACAATACCTGGCTTCCAGCTATGAGGCCATGCCGGTCAAGTACTCACTCTTACTCATGCGGTATACTGTGGCTACAACCCCGCTGCTGTCGTCGTGGCCACCCCACAAGTTCAACGATATCTTGATGCCAAGCTTCACCCCGTTCTTTTCCAAGCGCTCACAGGCTTCATACCTTCACGGGCAGGCCCTGCTAGACCGCTATGTCTAGCTTAGGGATGCACTCGATTACAATGGTGGTTTCTAGCAGGCTTGACTACACCAAGCTTTTTTCCCAACACATCCACGTTGCACATCATCGCAATTGAAGGCGACATGCCCGAACCCACGCGCTGCCTCTGTTGCACTTGGCTTCAAGCTTTCGTACATCGAGGATAGCAGGGTCACCACACTCAGTCACACGCAGGGTGATTCTCTTGCCCTAATCTTGGATATGTGTCTTTTTGTTTAAATTCGTCTTACAGTCAATAGGGCGGCTCGCAAAGGTAGTTCGTCTTACAGCGAGCAACGGGCTCATCGGCATAATTTGCACCCTCGCCATCTCGACCTGCAATGCAAAAAGTGCTCAGCCTTGCTGAAAACAAACAGTGAGTGTGTCAATTCTTACTTAACCATATAGAAAACAAACAGTGAGTGTACTAATTCTTAAGTAACCACATCGATAGAGCGTGGCATCTATGACAGCAGCCCGGCCTACGTTGCCATTCCATACCTTGAAGTTGTCGTCCATCTCCGCCCCGTGATTGTGCGTCAGCTCCAGGGTCGAGCCTGGTCATAGCAGGGTTTAGGGGTTAGGGTTTAGGGTTTATGGTTTAGGGTTTAGGGTAGCCTTGCAGTGAAGACGCACATGCTTCTGTACAAGCAGCTCACAAGCATGCCATGCAGCAAATCTTGCGACTGCTACCTTGGGAAGTGGCCTGACATGGTCCAACAGTATTTCTCATTCTCCAATGTAGTCTTCTCCAGGCTGCACTCCGGGACGATCTGCCCTTCTCTTGGGCGTTCCAGGAAGTACACTGTGAACTTCCACTGTGGAAACCTGGGTGTTTGTGAGACCCATGCAAGCAAAAGCATGAAAATCCGCAGCCTGAATCCTCACGGGCAAAATCAAGGGCGTGCTGTAGGCAACCCAGGCCGCTCAATCCAGTGGATCAGCTTCATGCCAAAGTTTTCCTCGTAGAATGGGACGGACTTCTTGGGATCCTGTCGAATCAGGAACACACTTCGCAAAGAGCGCCTCGTATGCACCGGGCAGGAGGTGTAAAACCCCTTTCTGTTAAGGGTATTGCGGCATGGGGCCGAAGATTGTGAACCGGCCAGTGGCTGAGCTGACCGTGTGTTTGCTGTCTGCCGTTCAAGAGCCTGGGAAACATCCCTCTGGAAAGTGTGGCTGTGTTGGCAAGCGGGAATGAACCGGCAGAAGTCATATGGGGGTTTGCGATAATATGGGACCCCTAATACAGACCCCCAGATAGTAGGATCCCCTTATACTTCTATTTTGAGGATCCCAATAAGGTACCCCTGGCACCGTAAACCCAATATTCTACCGTGTGTCTGTGTCCACCTTTTGCTGTGGGACTATTTTCCTTTGCAGGTCGATGTCGGCCCTGTGCCAGAGACAGATGCTGGGCATTGTGCCTCACGGTGCTTAACTCCAGGACAGATGGTTGGTTGCGGGGGCGCGTTTGTCTCTTGAAATATAAAACCTACAAAATCTCGTTGACCCCTCAACCTTTGGAGGATCAGCTTGTCTACAGACTTAGCCTCCCGCCTTGATTCGCAACATAGTCTGCTGGAATCGAGCATGGTAGGGACCGGAGCCCATGTAGGGCATGGGCTCCACCTCCTCTATGTGCCACCAGGTGCCAAGCACCTTTCAAAGGACGCAATGAACTGTCTATGGCTCTCTTGTCCTTCGGTGACGGGCTGCCCGCCTTCACTGCATGGCCGTTAGTCTGCGTCACGGTCCCCATGGTGCCAGTCGCTTTGATGCGTACATTGTCGTTGAGAGAATAGCCCGCCATGGCTCCGGTCGGGAGTGGCTGTGTAGAGCCTACGCCTCGAGCCAACGCTACAACCAGAATTTCAGAAGGCATACTGCGATTGCATGCAAGCATGCATCACTTCCTTTGGCGTGCATTTCCTACAGCGTGGTAAACTTTTGCGCACAGGATCTCTCCCGTCCAAGACACCGACGTGCGTGCACGGAACTGCGCAGTCTAAGGAGCTGCGGCGCAGAATCAAAGTCAAGATCTTCCCACCTCCTCCATCGACTTCTGAGGCTGTGCAATATCTTGAGCCCGAGTGGCCCATCAACCAACGAGCATCCACGCTCTGCAGTTCAATGCGATTCACTGTGGGATCGCATGGCAAAACGACTCCTCACAACCCAAACTGGACAAAACAGCAAGAGGCACGCAGAAGTCAAATTCAAACATCGCCCGTGCCAGAACTCCCACCTTGGCGGAGCCCAATCGGCCTCCGGACGCATCAGCACCTTTCCATACATGTCTGCCGCTAAGTCGTTCAAGGCAGTTAGCAGCCTCGAGCTGTTCAGTGGAACTACTGGGCCCGGGACCTGCTGATTGATAATGTTCCCAGTCACGTCTTTGGACTTGTTCCAAGTTGCCGATCGGCGATGAAAAAGACACACAGGCGACAACTCATCCCCCTACAGAATTCAAATGCTTGTTCCATCTTGTTCACTGGAGCTCTGGCAGGTCCAGAGACTTCTTGAGTAGCTTGAGGCCATCATTATCTCTAAGCCTCGAGATGCGATGGGGCACAGAACAAGCCCAAACTTCAAGCATACATGAAACTAAACTCAGAATTCCTTTCATCTGAAAGTAGAGAGAGCTCAATAAAAGGAGCACTCCCGAAAAACTCCCAGGTCCAAGCCCAAGTGAGGAGCCCTGGTGTCAGAAAAAAAGGCGGCGCCGCTACTCGACAGAACATTGTATTGGCTACAGAGCCGGGCTGACTCTGACCGACAAGATCTACAAAGCATCGCAGGTTCCAGTAAGAGATTCTCGGTGGCACACTGATGCGGTGCAACCCCGTCTGCCAAGGTTCCTGCTGCTTCCGTCCGTCAAATCTGACAGGACCCTCGTCTCAAGCTTCTTGAACTGGTCCCGCAAATCCGCCTTCGCAGAGCAAAGCGAAGGCACAGCCCTGGAAACCCCTTCCGTCAACCACTTGTATGGGGGGTTTACGATAATAGGGGACCCCTATATTGGGGGATCCCCAAATCGCAAGATCCCCTTACAATCAGGACCCCAATAAGGTAGCCCTATCATGTCGTAAACCCCCATATAATGCTGCGTTAATCTGCAACATCAGTCTTGAGAACGTGGCAGCCCAGCCCAAGATCGAGCGTCAACCCTGGCACAAAGCCAAAATAACTCGATCATCATGCCCACCTTTGGAACCTAGCATAACCCCGTCTTTGCCAAGCCTTGCTCACAAGTCAACCCGAATTTCAGGTTTAGGGTTGAGGGTTCAGGGTTTAGTCCCGAGAAGCGGAGCTTCTGACTCTGGAACTACCGACCAGGCAAGTAACGAAAACTCAATCCACATCACTCGAGTTCAGTTCTCCAAGAACCCCCTGTGAATGTACAGAAAACTAGCAAGAGCTTCCCCGTAAACCCTAAACACCCTATAAAACCCGCATAGAATCTATAAAAATCCAACAAACACTATAAACCCTGCAAAACCCAATCAGACCCTATTCTAAAACACCATAAACCCTCCAAACCCTCAACCACAAACCCTTAACCGTCACAAACCCTAAACCCTTTCAAACCCCGCAAAAACCCTATGTAAAAACCCATTAGCAAAAAACTACAAAAACCCCTACAAAGCCCTATAAACCCCTGTTAAGCCCGTCACGCCTCGGCTTTGGCCGAGGCAGCCTTCAACCGCTCCTCCTGGCTTTGGGCCTCTGCCGAGGCCGCGTCCGAGGCGAAGCTCCTGGGCCACAGCCCCAAGAATCCCCCAAAACATCCTGGGCGACTGGGTTTTCTGTAGATACGACTATTATTCGTACCTATTCTTATTGCATTGTCTATATATATATATATATGAATATGTGTATGCTTTAGTGTATGGTTATGGTTATGAGTTTGCTTTGTATATTTGTTCCAAGCATATGGACTCCTAGACACATTGCGGCGCAGCTTACAGGAGTGGAAGGCATGATATGCAGGATGTGGCCAGAATGATGCCGCCAAGGGGCTTTAGATCTTTCAAAACCTGCGCGGGTGCGGGAACTTCATCCGAAAAGAAGACACAACATTACGGGCTCAAGAATTAGAATGCTCCGGTCGAGGACACTGTCGCAGATTTCTGCTTCCTGTGTCATTGAGCCATCGCCTGTGACAAGTCCGACGAAGACGCTTCGTTCAGCGTGGCAAACATTGAGTTGGTGTCCTGCTTCGACAAGCACCGACATGCAGTCTTCAGCCTGTAGTCTGTTAGAGCGCACTCTGCGTAGAACTCTTTCTATGCATGGAAAACCTCTCTAACCTGCTGCAAGCACTATGCTAAATATTCTACAGGTGGAAAACACTGCTGCTCCTTGAAGGTATCACCTCAGACACACAGCGTGTCTGTCTAGCATGCTTTCCAGGCATGTCGTGTTGCTACAGTGGCCAAATTGGCCTTTGAGAAAAGCGCACGTCCATAACAAGCGGTTTCTGCCAAGTTTCCCATTTGCTGACACTCCGTGGAAACATCGTCGAGACCTTGGCCGAGAACAGCTGCATTCGGAAAGCAGCTTCAGAGAAGGCACTCGAGGACGCTTTTCCTTTTTTTGACTCCAACGCTGTGCGGGTGCAGAGCCGTCAGCCATGTGTGGCCTCTCGTCGTGTAGCCATGCGCAGCCTCCGTGTCATTCAGATGTTCAGGTCAGGAGCCGCAGCCTCCGCTGTCCAAGCGGGAGTATACTCCCGCAGTCCAGCGGATCGCGATCGGCAAGCCCAGGTGGGAGGCAACCCAAGAACGTCGGAGAACCAGCAAAAACTGGTGCAAGCACAGGATCGAGGCTGTCGATGCTCCGGGTGGCTCATGCGACAGCTAGTAAATCAGACCACGGCAGACATCGCTTCCACAAAGACAGGGCTGATGCCTGGCTGCTCCATCCGCACCCTGCACTGCCTCTGGCGACATGCCGTAGTCGTAGCGGAGCTCCTCCCAAGCCCATCACACGAGGAAGCACAGGGTCGTACAAGTTCCGAAATGCGGGGGAATTGCATGTCATTCCCTGGCACTCTAAGAGCCTGAAGACAAAAACCACGTAGTGCACTGCATCTGCATCCGCAGGCTCCTCACCCTGGGTCACGGCGCGGTTGGTAAAGAGTGCAACATGAGGTAAGCGCGCATCGGCTGGCTCCTGAAGACCACCAGGCGCGTGCGCACGTCCCGCGACATGCGCCAAAACAATGTGCAAGAAAACAACCGGATCTCAAGGTCATCATCTGCCCGTCCTCGCGCTCGAAGGTATAGACATAGATCGGCGTGACATTTGCAGCGCTGGAAGGGCCACATGCGTGGTTTAGAAAACGAGCCACGCCACCCCTCTCATAGGCGTCGATGACGAAAACCTTGGATTGAGGCTGCAAAACAGGAAGCAACAAAAACGCATGCCAATGGCCAATGGCGATTGTGCTCTGACATAAGTGAGACTGAGGAGGGGGCTGGCTCTTGCATGCCGTCACACGGTGGAACCTGCAAGTAGATGACATAACAAACGCTTGATGCTGAACTCGTGCTGACACCGCATGATTATAAGCAAACAGCGTGATTGTGCATCCCCTTCCCCTCCACCCGGCGCCTCAAGTCCAAGCCTGGCACACTGCTTGGGCGTGGTGAGGTTGAAGAGGTAGGCGTCCCGGCCGGGGGTGGCACATCGGCTATCGGCCTCTCTGTCCGTGAGGATGTCTCCTGGTTCTGGCACCGCCAAAAGCACTAAACGGGCTCTGAAGTGCTGAGCACATCTGAGGACACAACCTGTATATTCGCAGACGAACTCGCCCACTGCCAGGTTCTCCATTGTAAAGGCGCCCCATCCCATATCTGCATGCAACCTTGCATTCGCATCGTGGGCGCCATGGGGCATGAAAGCCACACCAAGCCTGCTGTTACATTGCAGTGGGAGGAAGGGTTTCAGATGGCTTCAGTGCCTCCGAGGCTCCACCGCACTTGTAACCAGGGCCTGCGGCCACCTTGTCGCACAACTCGGCAGTCTCCGGCCTGACGCTTCCACACTCTGCTCTGAGAATCTCTGAGACAAGTCTTCCGGTGCCTCGAAGATTGCCAAGGGCAGCGGCAAGCCTGGGAAGCAAAGAGCTGACTGCAGATGGACCAGGAACCTGGAATGAGTTCAAGACAAGGGAATGGTAAGACTCTGGTAGAATACGTCTCAGGGCCGTGCCTTGGTCCATCGCGGCCAGCCTTCCGTCCCGCGTGTATGGCGAAGCACCTTCAAAGTCCAAGGCTTCAACTTCAACAACCAAGCTGCCCTCTCACTGTCCGACGGCTGGGTGATTTTTAGGGTTTAGGGTCTAGGGTTTAGGGTTGACCATTTAGGATGTGACTAGTACTGCCACGTGCCTCGTGGCTTCAGCGACCATAGGGGAGCATCGTCCAAGGCTGGGTGAAGGCTCATTTCGCTGATCTCGAACCTTAGTCTTGATCACAAAGAGAGTAGAGCTGAATGAGCCCACAAGGTGCACACATGCACACACAGGGAGAGAATCCAGCAGATGACATACCCATCTTTTGAGGACATCACTTGGGAGGCTCGGCTCCTTCGTTGCCAAGCCTCAGCACAGGCTCTACAGGGCAACTTGAAAACTTTCGGTCTACACTCACTGCTACAGGCCCTGTGGCCCCACGGCCACTGTAGCTCCTTCAGGCTCATTCCACACGAAACTCCGAAACGCCTCTGAACCTTGTACGACCCGTTGCAAGCGATCTAGGATTCGGGCAGCTCCCAGTGCTGGGTGCTCTCTGCCAGCAAGCGTCCTGTTGCGCGGCCCCACATTTAGCGATGACTAGGCATGAGCTCAAGCCTGAAAAAGCAAACCCGAGCTTCCGCTCTCCAGAATAGCTATGATGCTGGAGGCAGGGTCGCGCGTCCTTCGAGCCTGTGCTCGCTCTGGCGGCGGCAACAGAATGCAAACCATTCAGCCCAAGGCATCGAAAACAGCAGCGCGTGTCTCAGCAAAGAGGCCTAGATCATCTTCTGGTGATATCATCTGCTATTAAATTAGATCTGCGATGAGGCACATTCTGGACATTTGCGTGTTTGTGGCTGCCGCTTTCGACAATTGGGACAATTGAGCCTCGAATGGCGGCTTCAAGTGCGGCACAGCAGACAACGCGCACACCCAAAAGAAGCAACACCGCAGATACTTTATGGTCGTCCTTTCGAGTTAACTGTAACCTTTCCTGCAGCCGCCGATTGGATCTCACGCATGAAATTCCTCTGAGCCACCCAGTCGCGCGCACGTCTTCGTCAGCAGCGTCAGAACTGAGTGAGTCTGTTTGTGGCAAGCCTGCAGGCGTGAATAAAAGATTGAGTCGATGTTTGCCTGTGTGTTGTTGCGTAGTGTTGTGTGGGTTTTTTTGCAGTTGTGTGGGGTTGTTTGCGGTTGTGTGCGGGGTTGCATGGCATCTGGTGTGTGTGTGAGAGAGTGAGAGTGAGTGAGTGAGTGAGTGAGAGAGTGAGCGAGTGTGTCTGTGTGTGTGCGCGTGCGCGTGCGCGCGTGCGCGTGCGCGCGTGCGCGTGCGCGCGTGCGCGTGCGCGCGTGCGCGTGCGCGCGTGCGCGTGGCGCCGTCCGCGTGCGCGCGTGGCGTGCGCGCGTGCCGCGTGCGCGCGGTGCGTCGTGGGCATGCGGCGTGCGCGTGCGCGAGCGTGCCGTGCGCGCGTGCGCGTCGCGTGCGCGTGTGTGTGTGTGTGTGTGTGTGTGTTGTGGTGTGTGTGTGTGTGTGTCCTGTGTGTGTGTGTGGGTGTGTGGTGTGGTGTGTGTGGGTGTGTTGTGTGTGTGCGCGTGTGCGTGTGAGTGTGCGTGCGCATGCGACGTGCGCTGCACCTGCGCGTTGGGCGTGGTGTGCGTGCCGCGGTGTGCGTGGTGCGCGTGCGCGCGTGTGCGCGTCCGCGCGTCTGCTCATGTTGCGCGTCTGCGCGGCTGCGCGTCTGCGCATGTGCGCGTCTGGCGCGTCTGCGCACTGGCGCGTCTGCTGTCTGGTGGTGCGCGTGTTGCGCGGTGCGGGTGGTGTGTGTGGTGTGTGTTGTGTGTGTGTGTGTGTGTGCGTGGTGCGTGTGGCGTGTGCGTGTGCGTGGTGCGTGTGCTTTTGCGTGTGCGTGGGTGTTCGTGCGCGTGTCGCGTGCGCGTGCGCGTGGCGTGCGCGGACGGCCCCCCCCCCCCCCCCCCCCCCCCGTGCGCGTGCGCGTGCGCTGCGCGTGCCGCGTGCGCGCAGCGCCGCAGCGCAGCGTGCGTGCGTGCGTGCCGTCGCGCGCCACCAGCGCGTGCGTGCGGTGCGTTCGGTCACGTGCGTGTGTGTCTTTGTGTCTTCCGGTGTGTGTCTGTGTGTGTGTGTGTCTGTGTGTCTGTTGTTGTGTGTGTCTTGGGTGTGGGTTTCTGTGTGGTGTCCGTATGTGTGGGGGTTGTGGTCCCCTCCCCTGTTGTGTGTGTCCGTGTGTCGGTGTGTCTGTGTGTCTGTGTGTCTGTGTGTCTGTGTGTCTGTGTGTCTGTGTGTCTGTGTGTCTGTGTGTCTGTGTGTCGGTGTGTCGGTGTGTCTGTGTGTCGGTGTGTCGGTGTGTCGGTGTGTCTGTGTGTCTGTGTGTCTGTGTGTCTGTGTGTCTGTGTGTCTGTGTGTCTGTGTGTCTGTGTGTCTGTGTGTCTGTGTGTCTGTGTGCTGTGTGTCTGTGTGTCTGTGTGTCTGTGTGTCTGTGTGTCTGTGTGTCTGTGTGTCTGTGTGTCTGTGTGTCTGTGTGTTGCTGTGTGCTGGTGTGTGTGGTGCGGGTGCGGGTGAGGGGGTGAGGGGTTGTTGGGTGGGCGTGTGTGTGTGTGTGTGTGTGTGTGGGCGTGTGCGTGTGCGTGTGCGTGTGCATGACATGTTGTCTGTTTTTCTTGTTCCCAGGAAAGCACCAAGCGCCGCGCCTTTCGCGGACCTTTCGCGCCCTTTCGCGGAGACATAAAATTATCATAAAGTTTTCGTCGATGATATAGTCGACAGGGAAGCTGGGTGCGTTTTCCAGGCCCCAAAACGCACTTTGCCCTCTCACCCCAAGAAGGGGAATCAATGTGCTGGTTTCAATGCTTGTGGACAAGTGGTCGACAAAACCAAATACAAGCTCCAGTGTGCGTTTTCCAGGACCCTCAAAACGCACTTTGCTCTCTCATCCCAAGAAGGGGAATCAATGTGCTGCTTTCAGTGCTTCTGGACAAACGGTCCGCCCCTAAAGGCACCCATAGTGCCATTATCCTGCCCCTTAACCCTCAAGCCCCAATGCGAGTGCGTTTACGGACCGCGCCTAAACGCACCCATTGTGTAGGTTTCAGCCTATTTGGGGTTCATACTGATAGAATATCCTGCCCCTTAACCCTCAAGCCCCAATGCGAGTGCGTTTAGGGACCGCGCCTAAACGCACCCATTGTGCAGGTTTCAGCCTATTTGGGGTTCATACTGATAGAATATCCTGGCCCTTAACCCTCAAACCCTCATTCAGCCTAGTTCGTACTTGTGGACTCTCATGCCCCTGAACACCTCAAACCCCAATGCGAGTGCGTTTAGGGATCGCCCCTAAACGCACCCATAGTGCAGTAACGCACTCGCTTGAGGTTTGAGGTGTTCAGGGGCATGAGGGTCCATTAGTACGAACCCCGAATAGGCTGAAACCTGCACTACGGGTGCGTTTGCACGCGGTCCCTAAACGCACTCGCTTGAGGGTTGAGGTGTTCAGGGGCATGAGAGTCCACTAGTACGAACCCCAAATAGGCTGAAACCTGCACCACGGGTGCGTTTGCACGGGCGTGAAAGTCCATCAGTACGAACCCCAAATAGGCTGAAACCCACGCGGTCCCTAAACGCACTCGTTTCGGGTTTGAGGGTTAAGGGGCATGATATTCTATCAACCAGATTTAATGGAAGTTGGAAGCACGGCTGGCCAATACCTTTCCAGGACCTGTCGCCCAATCGCGTTCCTTTCGCGGACCTTTCGCGGGCCTTTCGCGCTTTTCAGCGCGCGCTTCCTCTCAGAACCAGCGTGAAATCAGGGAGCACTTTCGCGGTCAGTCGCGGAGATCTTGCTCTCCAACACGTGCGTGCCATCAACCATCCAAGCCTGCGTTTCTGCACTCGACAAGAATCAGTGTGCATTTTTAAAGCCTTTCAAAATGCACTTTGCCCTATGATCCCTCCGCAGCCCCATTGCAACCACCACCGGCCGCCACTGCGGAAGAAACAAAGCGAATGCTTTCAAGCATCAGGCATAAAACCCCCAACGCCCCATATGGGTGCGTTTAGACACAGCCCTGAAACGCACTCGTCGGGGAGCAAAACAAAGTATGTATGAACCCCAAATAGCCTGAAACCTACACAATGGGTGCGTTTAGGCGCGGTCCCTAAACGCACTCGCATTGGGGCTTGAGAGTTTGAGGGTTATAAGGGCAGGATATCTTATCAGTATGAACCCCAAATAGGCAGAAACCTGCACTGGGTGCGTATAGGGGCGGTCCCTAAACGCACTCGCATTGGGGCTTGAGGGTTGAGGCGGTTGAGGGGCAGGAGCATCTACCAGTATGAACCCCAAATAAGCTGAAACCTGCACCACAGGTGCGTTTAGGGGCGGTCCCTAAACGCACTCCCATTGGGGCTTGAGGGTTAAGGCGCGGTCCCTAAACGCACTCGCATTGGGGCTTGAGGGTTAAGGGGCAGGATATTCTATCAGTATGAACCCCAAATAGGCTGAAACCTGCCCAATGGGTGCGTTTAGAGGCGGTCCCTAAACGCACTCGCATTGGGGTTTGAGGCTTAAGGGACAGGATATTCTATCACTATGAACCCCAAATAAGCTGAAACCTGCACCACGGGTGCGTTTAGAGGCGGTCCCTAAACGCACTCGCTTGGGGTTTGAGGGTTAAGGGGCATGATATTCTATCAACCAGATTATCCCTTTCGCGGCGCCTTCCGCCGCGCTTTCGCGGGCCTTTCGCGGATACGAAAAAACAAGCATAAAATATTCGCCATTAAAAAAAGACAGGGGTTTGCGGATAACCCCCAATGTGCTCGTGCGCGTGCGGGCGCGGGCGCGCATGTGGGCGGGCGTGTGGGCGCGCGTGTGCGCGCGCGTGTGGGCGCGCGTGTGGGCGCGCTTGTGGGCGCGCGTGTGGGCGCGCGTGTGGGCGCGCGCGCGCGCGTGGGTGTGTGTGTGTGTGTGTGTGTGTGTGTGCGTGTGTGTGCGCGCATGCGTGCATGTGTGCATGTGTGCATGCGTGCATGCGTGCATGTGTGCATGTGTGCATGTGTGCATGTGTGCATGTGTGCATGTGTGCACGTCTGCATGTGTGCATGTGTGCATGTGTGTGTGTGTGTCTGATTGTGTGTGCGTGTGTGCATGCGTGCATGCGTGCATGTTTTCATGTGTGCATGTGTGCATGTGTGCATGTGTGTGTGTGTGCATGTGTGCATGTGTGCATGTGTGCATGTGTGCATGTGTGCATGTGTGCATGTGTGCATGTGTGCATGTGTGCATGTGTGCATGTGTGCATGTGTGCATGTGTGCATGTGTGCATGTGTGCATGTGTGCATGTGGTGTGCATGTGTGTGTCTGTGTGTGTGTATGGGTGTGTGTGTGTGGGGGGGGGGGGGTTGCGTGGGGTTGCGTGGGGTTGCGTGGGGTTGTGTGGGGTTGTGTGGCGTTGCGTGGCGTTGTGTGGCGTTGTGTGGCGTTGTGTGGCGTTGCGTGGCGTTGTGTGGCGTTGTATGGATTTGTGTGTGGATTTGTGTGTGGATTTGTGTGTTGTGTTGTGTGTTGTGTGTTGTGTGTTGTGTCTCGTGTGTTGCGTGTTGTGTGTCTGTGTCGTGTGTCGTGTGTCGTGTGTTGTGTGTTGTCTCTTGTGTCTTGTGTGTTGTGTGCTGTGCGTTTTGTTGTCTGATGTGGTGTGTGGCGTGTTTATATGTGTTGTGTTGCGTTGCGTTGCGTTGCGGTGCGTTGTGTTGTGTGTTGTGTGTGCGTGTGTTGTGTTGAGATTTGTGCGTTGCGTGTTGCGTGTTGCGTGTTATGTGTTGTGTGTTGTGTGTTGTGTGTTCTGTCGTGAATCGTGTGTCGTGTGTCGTGTGGCGTGTCGCGTCGTAACTTGTCTTGTCTTGTGTTGTGATGTGTTGTGTGCGGTGTGGTGTTGTGATGTCGTGTGATGTCTGTAGTGATGTCGCGTGATGTGTTGTGATGTCTTGCGTTGTCTTGTTTTGCCTTGTCTTGTCTTATGGTGTCGTGTCTTGTGTTGCGGAGTCGTGTCGTGTCTTGTCTTGTCTTGTCGTGTCCTGTCCTGTCTTGTTTTGTGGTGTTGTCTCTGTGTGTTGTGTTGCGCTTTGTGTTGTGGTTTGGGTGTTGTTTTCTGTTGTGTTTTGTGTGTTGTTTTCTGTTGTGTTTTGTGTTGTGCTGCGGGTTGTGTGTTTGTGTGTTGTGCTTCGTGTGGTGTTTGGTGCTTCGGGTCTTGTGCCGTGTGTGTCTTGTGTTTTTGTGTCTTGGGTTGTGTTGTATGTGTGCCTGCGTGTGTGCGTGTGTGCGTGTGTGCGTGTGTGCGTGTGTGCGTGTGTGCGTGTGTGCGTGTGTGCGTGTGTGCGTGTGTGCGTGTGTGCGTGTGTGCGTTCCTACATGTGTGCGTTCCTGCGTGTGTGCGTGCGTTCCTGCGTGCGTGCGTGCGTGCGTGCGTGCGTGCGTGCGTGCCTGCGTGCGTGCGTGCGTGCGTGGGTGGGTGGGTGGGTGGGTGGTGTGTGTGTGTGTGTGTGTGTGGTGTTGGTGTGTGTGTGTGTGTGTGTGTGTCTGTGTCTGTGTCTGTGTCTGTGTCTGTGTCTGTGTCTGTATCTATGTCTGTGTCTGTGTCTGTGTCTATGTCTGTGTGCCTGTGTCTGTGTGTGTGTGTATGTGTGTGTGTCTGTGTGTGTGTGCGCGTGGGTTTGTGTGTGCCTGCGTGCGTGCGTGCGTGCGTGCGTGCGTGTATGTGTGTGTGTCTGTGTGTGTGTGTGTGCGCGTGGGTTTGTGTGTTGCCTGCGTGCGTGCGTGCGTGCGTGCGTCGTCCGTGCGTGCGCTGCCGTGCGTGCGTGCGTTGGTGGGTGGGTGTGGGTGTGTGTGGTTTGTGTGGTGTGCGTGTTTGCGTGTGTGTGCGTGTGTGCGGTGTGCGGCGTGCGTAGCGTGCGTGCGTGCGTGCGCTGCGTGCTGCGTGCGTGTGTGCGTGTGGTGCGTGTGGCGTGTGTGCGTGTGTGCGTGTGTGCGTGTGTGCGTGTGTGGCGTGTGTGCGTGTGTGCGTGTGTGGCGTGTGTGCGTGTGTGCGTGTGTTGCGTTTTGTGCGTGTGTGCGTGCGTGTTGCGTGTGTGCTGTGTGGCGTGTGTGCGTGTGTGCGTGTGTGCGTGTGTGCGTGTGTGCGTGTGTTGCGTGTGCGTGTGTGTGCGTGTGTGCGTGCGTGCGTGGGTGCGTGTGTGCGTGGGTGTGTGTGTGTGTGTGTGTGTGTGTGTGTGTGTGTGTGTGTGTGTGTGTGTGTGTGTGTGTGTGCGTGCGTGCGTGTGTGTGTGTGTGTGTGTGTGTGTGTCTGTGTGTATGGTGTGAGCATGTGCGTGCACACTTGCATGTACGTGCGTGCGTGCATGTGTGTGCGTGCATGTGTGTGCGTGCATGTGCGTGCGTGCATGTGCGTGCGTGCATCTGCGTGCGTGCGTGCGTGGGTGCGTTGGTGTGTGTGTGTGTGTATGTATCCCTGTCTGTCTGTCTGTCTGTCTGTCTGTCTTTTTGTCGGTCTGTCTGTCTGTCTGTCGTTTTGTCTTTTTGTCTGTCTGTCTGTCTGTTGTCTGTCTGTCTTTTTGTCTGTCTGTCTTTTTGTCTGTCTGTCTATCTTGTCTGTCTGTCTCTCAGTGTGTGAGGGGGTTGCTTGTATGTTGGGAGTGAGTGACTGAGTGAGTGAGTCAGTGAGCGACAGTTTGGGGCGTTTTGGGGCGCATGCCTGCACAGATATCTTGCAGAAACTGGGGAGCGGTTGGCTTGTGGCAGCGTTTGGGTCGATGCAAGCCATTAGATCTGCAGCATCCAAACAATCTCTGCAAGCTCTGCACCCCCGAGACCTGCATCGTCTCAACAATCATTTTCTGATTTGCCAGCATGGCCTTGGTACAACATGCAGGCCTCCAGCGGAGGCAAGAAGAAGACACGCTAACAAATGGAGTAGTCTGTTGTCGCAAGCCAAATACGTCCTCAAGCAACCCATTCACCACACATGCCGTCCAAGATCATTCAAGCAGCTACACAGCCACAACACACTACGCAAGAATATCATGTAGCATTCGAGACAGTAAGGCTGCCTGTATAAAGCGCTGTAATCTGGGCCCAAGGTGCGGTGCCCACGTCAAGCAGCTGCTCAGCAGCGCCCAACCGTCGGCCTGAGATGCTTTTCGAAATTGATCGTTGAATGGTTTCAATCCACCCCCCATAACCCGCGAGGGGGTTGTCCCGAGGGGCACGCTCCACTAGGTCAGTTGGAGTGAAACAGGTGCTTTGTGGTGGGCTACTGAACCAAACACCCTAAAGAGTAAGAAACGGAAACTTTCCCGCCCATCGACCACGGACGCTTGCCTCTCTCTGTCACCCTATCTCTCTGTCACCCTATCTCTCTGTCACCTTATCTCTCTGTTTCTTCTTCTTCTGTCTTCTACCCAGCGTAGAGGGGTTTCGGGGGACCCCGGCCGCGACGGCCCGCTGCTTGGTTCCTCCAGTAAGTGACACTCCACACTCGTTTTGCATTTTGAGACCTGTCTCTCTCCCTCTCGCTCGCGTCTTCTACCTAGCGACGCAAGAGCTTACCTCATCCAGAGTGAGAACGGCCCTTTTCGTTTGGGCTCTGGGGTGCTTAAGCAACTCACACTGAAGCGATGACTCGGCGACGTCCATCTGATTGGCACTTCGGGTCTGAACTGTTGCCCCCCCAGGATGAACCCCCTTTCTTCTTTATTTACTTCTTTCTTTCATTCGTTGTTTCTTTCTTTCTTTCCTTCTTTCTTTCTTGATTCTTCATGTATTTCTTTATTTCTTTCAATATTTCTTGCTTGTTTCGTTCTTTATTTGTTTCTTTATTTATTTACTTCTCTTTCTTTCTAGCTGTACTTATTTCTTTATTTCTTTCTTGCTTTCTTTATTTATTTCTTTTCTTGTTCTTTCAATCTGTCTTGCTTATGCATTTCGCTCTGTGTTTGCTCTTTCTTTCTTTCAATATTTCTTGCTTATTTCTTTCCATATTTATTTCTTTATGTCTTTCCTTCTTTCTTTCTAGCTGTATTTATTTCTTTATTTCTGTCTTGCGTTCTTTATGTATTTCTTTTTCTTGTTCTTTCAATCTTTCTTGCTTATGTATTTCATTATTTCTTTTTTCTTTCTTTCTTGCTTCCTTTATTTCTTTCCTTTTCTTTCCTTCTCTTTCCTTTCTTTGCTTTTCGTTCCTTTTCTTGCCTTTTCTTGCCCGTTCTTTCTTTTTCCTTCTTTCCTTCTTTGTTTCTTTCCTTCGTTTTATCCTTTTCCTTCCTTTTCAGTCTTTTTCTTTTTTCTTTCTCCTTCGAGGTGCTTAGGGCTTAGGGGCAAGCCCTCCTCCGCAATAAGCCCCCCGCTTCTGGCATCGCCCCCTCGATCTACTTCTACTTCCTCTTCCTCTTCCTCTTCCTCTTCTTCTTCTTCTTGTTCTTGTTCTTGCTCTTCTTCTTCTTCTTGCTCTTCTTCTTCTTCTTGCTCTTCTTCTTCTTCTTCTTCTTCCTCTTCTTCTCTTCTTCCTCGTCTTGTTCTTCAGGGGGCCCGTGCGCAAGGCGCGCCCGCTGTTCACTGTCCCCGCTTTCAACCAGTGCATCCTCTCACGGGTGCCTCCACGTTGTGCAGAGGGTTGAACTTGTCTCTCCGTCTCTTTGTCTCTGTGCCTCTCTACTGTCTCACTCACTCCGCAGGGGAAGTGACACACCCCACAGCACCATCTCGCATGGACCCCGGTGTAGTGTGCATGTTGGCTCTAAGCATCCAAGCCACCACCGCCCAAGCTAAATCTGCCGCAAATGCTCAGGCTCGAAACATCGCGGCTGCCGCACGATGAAACAGCTTGCTCAGCTGCCAGTGCCAGCATATCCGGAGAGACGTGGGGCATTGGCAATCCACCATGTCTCTTAAAAAAACCAGGATCCCTCGCACTAACCTTTTTCAGAGCCATGGCTTTGGCATGTCAATGGGTACTGCACAACGCTGCGAGAAGTGAGCTCCAGGCAAAGCAGCCCAGCGGCTGCCAAAAACACAGGTCTGAGCATATACAGGTGTCTGCCGAACACGCCCGGCATCATGAACCGAACCGCGACCCACAGGCCTACCCTTGTGGATCAGCCCTAGCGCTGCCCTGAGCTCGCAGAGACCGTTAACAATGTCAACCTCTGCTGGGTGACTTGGAGTGCAACGAGCTGGACGGCACCTCAACCAATCCAGTCTTCGGGACGCGGAATTATCGACTGGGCATGGCGTCTGTGCCCTTGACGCAACATTCCCATACTAGATACCATCTCAAACACCAGCAGCGTCATTCAACAGAACGCCAGCACAACGCCACCCCATCCAGTGTCACAGACATGGCCAGACAGCAAAAGTTCTGCAAACCTCGTGGCCCCTCCAGCCGAAGCGCCCGGGGTCGCAGCCCAGGTCTGGTGACATGTCAGAAACCACTCCGGAACCAGCTTTCCACTGCCCAAGGTGAGCATGCTGACTATCAGAATTAGTAGTGATGTTTGTTTAGGAACCTTGATTATTGCGTATCATGAGCATAGATTACTACTGTTATCGATTGTTTTGTTCTCATCGTAAATGCTACTAATTCTTGTCATTTCTTGTTATTTATTGTTGTTCATCACTTTGTTTTGTGGTTCATTACCGTTGTTGAAACATTGTGTTATGTTGAACTCTCTCACTATGCCTTAGGTGTTCATCGTCATGCGTTGTTGTTACGCTTATCATGCTACATGTAGTGATGTGTACGGTGTGTATACATGTGCCTTGAAACTAGTACAATTCAAGGAGCGAAAGTTGGCCGGCAGTCGCTTAGAGTAAGTGGGAAGTCCTAATGCTTTGAGGACATCCAGCTGGAATTCACAAGACCAAGCGGCTAGCTAACTGAGATGCGAACATAGGTACAGACATAGATACATGAGTGATACATGTGTGCTTGCCTCTCTGAAACTTCCCAAATACTCATGGAAAAAAGCGGTGTCGTGGCTTTCCATTGAAAGCTTGCGTGAAACGGCCGCATCGTAGTTAAAGAAACTTGGAGGTCAATCCCAGCATTCTTCGACAAGCCCAACATCTGTACACCAGGAAGAGGAAGTGGCAGTCTGTCCCTGCTCAGGTTTGAAGCATCACTTTGCCAGGGTCGGGAAGTCGACTCCTCCTAGCCAGGAAGGCACAACTTGGTGGGTTTTGTTTCAGCCTCCTTTTTACACAGGAAGCCTCCATTGAAAATTAATTTAAAAAAACAGATTTATAGCAACTCCCAGTTGCACCCTTGGCCTGCCCAAGATGCTGCCCGCAATGGTCGGCACCATGGCACGTGTCCTTACAAGCAGCGTTTTGACATCTGGGCTTAGGGTTTAGGGTTTAGGGTCAGAGTGTTTTGTGGCTTCACCTGACACCTGGTACTGGTAGATGTGGTGATGATCAACCAGCACCAGCTTGATCCATTCGTGAATCCCAGACACGATAACAATGACGGACCACGGCGAGAGCAAGTGGTAGAGTCCTGGCCGGAAGGAGACTCATTTCTACGCATTGCCCCTTCATCTGACTTCGCGAGGCTTGACCTGATTCAGCTATCTCACCATGCTTTACAAGACTGCGCCCTTTCAGCCAAAAAAAACCGGAAACCCAACACCTGAAACCCTAACCCCTAAACCCTGCTCCTCGCCCAGGCCCGGAAGCAGCTCCTGCTGTCCAGCCCAACACAAGCGAGGAAGGTGGTGTTGGATCTTAAGCTACCCCTTCAGATGCATGTCGAAGTGGTGCGGAGGCTCTACCTTGAAAACTACTCTTGCTACATATATATATATGTAATAATGATAATAATGAAAATAATGACAATAAGAATAAAAAGATGATAATAATAATAATACTGATAATAATGAACTCACACAACACTGGGATGCTCCACGCCTTCGTCCTCATCCTCAGCTCTCTTGCTGCTCCATGCCGGCGCAAGCTATCATGCAACCACGGTAGACGGCTCTTCGATAAACCCCTAATCCCTAAACCCTAAACCCTGAACCCTAAACCCTAAACCCTAAACCCCACACCTTCACCAATGCTTCCAGCCAGTCATGACTGCCACCGGGTCGCCCTTTGATGTGCTCCTTGGCTCGACTTTCAACGGACTGAGATGAGGAAGGCTCGTAAGACCAAACATGACGAGACAAGACCTAGCTACTATTTGCTGAAGAACCCCTCCAAAACATGTTCTTCCTTATGAGGGTAACATAGGATTCTTATTTTTCCTTTTTTTGGGAGGAGGGGGCGTTCTGAAGCAAATCCTAGAAAATATGTTGCCCTGCGTTGCATGGGACATTCGATCTGCGGGGGCTGCGCGGCATGCATCCGAGAGGCTCTCGTCGTGATACCGGAGCAGATCAGGAACAGGTGGTATCCCCACAGGCCGACGACGCACAAGGCTGCTGTTCCTGTGCAGAGACTGCACGAATCAAAAAGTAATCGCAATGACCCCGCCTGTCTACCTCAAAAGACGAGGACTATGACTTGGCCTTCCAGTCAAAACTTTTGTGTCTTTCGCCCGTGGGGCTTTGCCGTACATATGGCCATGAGCGTAGCCTGTAGATTTAAGCACAAAGGGGACACAAGGGCTGTGCTTCGCGGATTCGAAGGTTCCCGGATTCGTGGATTCGAGTTTCGCCCCAGGACACGTAGGGTTCTCTCAAGAAAAGCCACCAACCACGTGGGAGCAGGCACAAAGAGGTCTGATCTTGGACCCGGAGTCGGTCAACACGAGAACACATGGACCACCTGGTGACCACCTACATTGAGTTCTGACATCCCTGCCGCCCGGTGCGAGGCAAGAATCGGGCAAAGCAGTTCAAAGTAACAAAACAACGTTGCCGTCTTCAAGTCGAGCCGATCTCTTTAGGAGCCGCCATACGGATCAGTGGGAGTTGACGTGGGCTTTGACAAAGGGAGAGTGGACAGAAAGACTGATTAGAACGGACGATAATGCATGCATGTGTGTGTTGTGAGGGCAAGCACGAACCGGGTAAGAGAGCGAGTTCGGAAAGGTTGAGTGAGTTTAGTGATTGAGCGCGCGAAGTGACTGAGGCGAGAGTGAGTGAATGAACGGGCGAGCAAGGTGAGTTAAGGTGACTTGGGTGACGTTGGTAAGGGAGCTTTGCATTCTCGACGACAACTTCATCGGGGGCTCACGTTGTTTGCCAAGATCCCGAGCTCTCCCAAAGCCACCCAAGAGGTAAATAGCCAAATCAGACGGCAATTGCGTTCTCCCACAATATCCAGCGCAGATCTTTAAGGAATGCCCATTCCATGGACTTCGACGCTCGTATCGAGGACCGATTCGATTGACAACCACTTTGAGCCATGCATATTAACGGGACCTGGGCCGCCTGGCGTCAGAAATCATCGGAGGATAAGAGGAGAGAGAAGGCCGGGGGGCGGCAGGAGAGCGAAGAGGAGCTGCACACCCTGAAGTGGGGAACAAAACCGCAAGCAGTGACCTTGAACTGATAATAAGTACGACGATGACTGCCCTGGATCTTGGACTGTCAAGGTTTACATCTCCCATGGTTCAACAGGTGCACGGTGCCCCTATTCTCTGTCGAAACCTTCGGCTGGTTGGGAAGCCTCCCGCAGCCGCCAGAGTGATGAGAAACCCTCGGAGAACGGCATCAGAGTTCACCTGCAGCTCGCAGGATGCGACAAGTACGAGACCGCATGCCAGGCAACACCACATCGTTCGGCTCCCCTTGGCCAAGGGGCTGTGTAGCCCTCCTGATCCGTCCCGCTCTGCCCGGGGCCTGCTGCTTTCAACACTCTGGTGGTTCCTTCGAAAAACAGCGGGCTGCGTTAATTCTACTTGACCTCGGGCCCGCACCAATCCCAGTGCCGACCAGGAGGAACCACAGGAGGGATGGGATGACAACCAGGGCCAGCATGCAAACCGAACCTCGCCACAAGCTGGCATCTGAAGCGTGGAGTTGTGTCCTCTGCCGCACACCTCCAACTCTGCGTGCGGGCTCTGCCGCATGTGCTGAAACAGGACAAAGACATGCTTATATATATATATATGTGTGTATATGTATAAATTCACACGATAATATGTGTATATGTACATGTATATATATAAATAATATATATATTTGTGTTTCTATTGTATGCTTAATTCGGCATTGCCCTATGTAAGCGCAGTCCAGCGAACAACAACTTGCAGCCACATTTGTGTCGCGGACAACTCCAGCTTGTGATTGCCTTCCTTTTGCCAGCACGTACATGGTCAAGACTCGTGCCTTCCCTTATTGTGCAAATCTACTTGGCCCTAAACCTCTGTTCAATGCCCACTCCATGTTCTCCACACACAGAAAACTTCGAGACCAGTCTCGTTTGGTTCGGGCACATGACACAGGGCTATATTTGGGGCCCCTCATTTTCGGAAAGCCCATAGAAGCCCCATACAACGACCAGAACCCTCCGTGACCAGGCCACTGGTGAACCCAAAGAAGAACAGATAGTTTCTCTGGCCAACCTGGGCGTTCGCATTGCCAGACTCACGATCGGCAAGTGGCGGCAAGGCAAGAAGATCCCCAACCCACAGAACTTGAAGCACGGCTGCCGCACTGACCACAAAACGTGGTAGACTGCCAGGAATGCAACGGTGCTTCTTTTTGCCCAAGGTGCGCAATTGTTGATGAAGGGGCAGTGGTGGTCAAAGCGCATCACACAGTTGTCGCAGTCGGAGCAATGCGACGCTCGTGGCGGTCGCACGATGCGGCATGTGCTACACCACCTGCATTCGAGAGGGTCTGAGACGACGCTACTGATGCTATTGCAGTGCACACGGCAGAATCCAGTCACACATCTCAAAGCTCCTGACGTTGCAGCCAGCTCATACACAAACCTTGATTCGCCTGTAGCCCTGTTTCCGTAGATCTGGTGGAATGCTGACGCGTTCCGTGTTGTCCCGGAGCTCACCCCGCTCAGTGACCTCAACGCACGGTGTGAGGGCGGCCGGGCATGCATTGCACTAAGGTTTAGGGGTTATAGGGTTTAGGGTTTAGGGATTAGGGTTTAGACTCTCACGCTGGCGAAATGTGGGCGAGGACTCTGGGTTGAGGGTTCAGGGTTTAGGGTTTAGGGAGTTGCACAATCGGCACACTGAACCCCAGGTCAAGGCGCGGTCTCTCCGAGCACGTTGTAGCCAAGCTGTTCGGACAGCTTCTCAGCGCAGCCGGTGGCCAAGATCACCTGTGCAGGCGCGTGGGCTTTGGATGATTTCTTCAGAAGTCAGAATCAGAAGTATCAGAGTAAGGAATACTTTGTAAGGATTCACAGGATTTACAGCTTCCCCTCCATGGAAAATGGAGCCCAGATGTGCTCGCAGCCTCACGGCGAGGAATGATGCCAGGATCCGCCAGGCACGCAGACAGCAAGCAGCCCACAGTCATGAGGAAGAAGAACAAGGCCGTCATGGGAAGAATCGGATGCACTTCCTGGCACTCCATTCAAAGCAGTGAGCTTAACCATCACTACATTGCACACTGTGGCACTGCGTCATCGCTAGGTTTGCCAAGATGCGCTCCAGTAGTAAGGCAGCGCCACCACAAAGTAAAGAATTGAGGGCACCAAAATACAGGCCTGCAAGAGGTCACTGCAATCATCCGCAATCGCGGATTCTGACAAAGAATCTGTTGAACATATGTTGAAAGAATGTGCGCCGGATCCAGAAACCAGGGACTTGCCCTGCTCTTGGTCAATACCAACTTGCCGCCTTGTAGTCCGGTTAACTTCTGATTTGAGACAAGAAGCCCAGGAGAAGCAATTTGCAGGGCCCATTGCAGTGCACCAGGGTCGGTTGATGAAATCACAGCCTGCACACAGAAGACAGGTGTCGCCAAATTTGAAGCGTGCATGGTGTGTAGATGGGCACCATCCGCTCCCATAGTTCAACCTTCTACCAATGCGTCGACAGCGACGTATAGAACAACTTACTTACCATTATCCAACCAAGCCTAACAGGTAACAAGCACAGTATAGCGCGCCATGACTTTGCTCCTTGCCATGGTGCACCCCCACACCCACCGTGTTCCCAAACAAGCTTGTGCCCAAAACCCACGACGCCTCAGGCGACTTAATGTCTCAACCTTCGGCGTTCCTGGATATGTGCAGCCAGCATGTAGCGGTGGCCAGCACGACTCCGAGCACAAACTGATCCTCATAAGGACGACGATCAGCAAAAAAAAACTCGCCTTCGAGTGCCGAGGCCAGGCTCTCGCATCGCTGCTGCCGATTGCTGCGATGCTCACCAACACCTTTGGGCTCACTGGGGATGACTGTATTCAAGGTTCTTCCACCCTGCTTACAACCCTGCTTGCAACCTGCCCTCAGACCTGACCTTGCATTTCCCCAAGTCCGACTCTGGTCCCCGGGTTGAATGTCATACGTCTCTGGCCGGGAGTGTTGACACAGATCGCGCGTCGGTGCGTCTGCTACGCGAGAAGTACACAAGTTGCTGTACAGGGTGACGGGTGGGCCCACTAAAGCCTGACAGTTGTTCCAAAAAAGGCCGGTGTCTGCCCAATTTTGATGACCTGGAGAAATCGTAGTTAAGGAGGATAACAAAAGGGATGCATTCATCTTCTATCATCCTATTCAGCTTATAGGCTCCTTTTGCAGCAGATAATGAATTGAAAAACAGACAAACCAATGTTCATCCAGCCCGCAAGTCACCCAGAAAGCGGCATGCCAAGGAACAGTTCTCGCGCAAGCACTGCGCTGCCGAGCACTCGTGGCCAGGACTCCCTGTCATACAATATCCTCAGGTGTCTGTCTTGCACTCTTTCTGGGTACGTGTGTCGATGTGGTCCTCGGAGATTAAGGTGGCAATCGCACAAGTGGTCTTGACGATTGCTTTCGTTGCAGTAATTCCAAACAAGATCCCAAGTAGCATCGGCATCTTTAGCCAAGGCTCCTGCACAGCAGAATCTGTTGCCCGCTGGCCATACCTGCAACGCGGAAACAGTTCTCAGCAGTGCTCAGACTGCTCTCAGCCTCCCTGAGCTGTTACAGCGGACGTAGGCTCCATACTAATATATATGTATATGTATACCCTGTAAGGAAATATATATATATATACATATTATATATATATATATATGTGTATATACCCTTTAAGGGATTATATAGACCCAAGATGTGCCTTGTACAGCCGCGAGTGTCCCGTCACCGGAGGTGCCGGCGGAGGTGGTGGAGGAGGTGGCGGACCCCCGACCTGCCGGGCAAAAAGTCGAAAATGAGCCCGTAAGCCCCTAAGGCCCTATGAGCCGTACGATCCCTAAACCCTAAACCCTAAACCCTAAACCCTAAACCTTAAACCCTAAACCCTAAACCCTTGTGGTGGCTCCTCCAGGTCGCTCACGGCCAGGCACTGGATGCCACGCTTGTTGGCGGCAAGGCTAGACGCGCACCTCACAAGGATTCAGCCATAAAAGCATTAAAAGTGTTTTGAATAGTACGAACTGTACGAATAGTATTAATTGTATTCATAATATTAACAGTATGAATACTATAATAGTATTAATAGTTAATAGTATTAGTAGTATTAATAGTATCAATAGTATTAATAGCATTAATAGTACTAATAGTATTAATAGTATGAATAGTACGAATAGTATGAATCGTATGAATAGTGTGAATAGTGTGAATAGTATGAATAGTATGAATGGTATGAATAATATGAATAGTATGAATAGTATGAATAGTAGTAGTATTACAGTAATAGTATGAATAGTATGAATAGTATTAATAGTATTAATCGTGTCAATAGTATTAATAGTATTAATAGTGTCCGGCATTTCTGACGGGCTGGGGCCCGCAGACTTACGGAAACTACACATCGCCCGTGCAGACACGGCTCTCATCATCGAGCAGCTTCCTCGGCCGTTGGCTACCCACATTCATGCAGAAACAACATGCCGACATGAGGCTCACAGAAGAAGGCCCCAAACCCGAGGAACCCAGACACAGTCGAATCTTCTGGCACCACATGTACAGATGACAGGCTCCGCCTAACGCCCGCAGCGTGTTCGACCAGACCAGCGCCATCCCACACTGATACTTATATTCGTGACGCACGCTCTGACCCTCAAAAGTCCTAAAACTTTGCGAATGCAGCCAGGCTCAGCGCTTGCTCCTCGCTGCCAGCCTCCGGCAAAGAGCTCGACCCCACCACGACAAGCGCATCGCCCACGCGGAGGTCCGGCTGCACCTGGTCCTGCGATTTAAGTGCTACTGAATGTGGGGAAAACATGGTGGGGATATATCGTGCACTGTCTACCCCATGTTATTTACGTGTATGTTTTAGAAATCTTGTATCTACATCTATACATAAATATGTGTGTAATAGTGCAATATCAGGGATCTGGTGCGTGTCGCTTCCGTGAGTCTGAAGCTTGACTAGTTTGTCCCTGTTCACTCTTCCTGGAACTCGAGGTCCTCACTGATACTGGTCACGACTAGGCCAATGCCCCGATGCCATGTGCACTGGAGGCCTGCACATTCTGCCACTGGGCTCGAGACTCTCCCGGCATTCTTCAGACAGACTTCCGTGAGTATTTACCGGTATGCCGAAAACAGACGGTCTCGAAGAAGATCAGCTAGAACTGCGTCATGGTCGGAAAATACTGTCAACCTTAACTTTAACATCAGTCACGCCCCAAGCCGACGAAGTGGGACTAGGTGTTGGCTAGATGCCCCATGCTTCGATGCAGCAGGCTACATATTTGACACAAGCTTGCTGAAGGCTAAAGCTTGCCCTCCCTCGCCTGGCTGTCCAAAGCTGTTGAGAAGCAAACGCACTACCTTGGACCCCGAGGACTTGGGCGGCCGGGGATTGCTACAACAACGGCAGTCGATTCCAATCTTGCCAGGAAGCTCTCTTCGGAGGCAAGGCCTGATAAGCGACAAAGAATTGCAAGAAGTCCGACGAACGGTGGAACCGTTGCAACTGCGACAATCTGAGGGGGCTGCAGAGGAGCCTGGCAATTCTGAAGGAGTAGGCAGACCTGAGAAAGCCGATGGAAGCTAGAGGAAAGGATCAGAAACAAGCTCCTTTCAAGATTCAGCAACGTGGCGGGTGGCTTTGAGGTCATCAACACAGAAAGGCGCAGACAAGTACGAACTATTGCCAACAGCAACCAGGACTGTCCAAGGCTTTTCTTGGATGCCGGCCGGCATCCGCGGTATCCGCGCCGTCATCCATCGGAAATTCTACTGTGCACCTTGTACGATGCTACTATGACAAATGCTGGTGCCCAAGCTCATGCTGGCAACACACGTGGGCTTCGCTTTAGAGTTGCTCCTTGGCCTTCGTTAGGGTCCAAGGTGTTGAAGATCCCGACACCTCGAGTGCTCTCAGTTTATGGGCCCTTGTTTAATCCAGAGCAGCGATTAAAACACATCCCTTTCTCCTTAGGGCCTTAGCCTACCTCAAAAAGGGGGCCATTCAGATATGTGACCATGTACACCCTGCATGAACTTGGGGGTATCGAGCCGACAATAATTTGCAGCCGACCGGGCAGCGCACACTTCACTTTCCGGTGCTGTGTACGGAACTGCATGGGACCTACAGCAAGGTTCCTTCAAGGCACTATGCAGGGCCCCTGATTCTCATCTGGCGAATCAGAGGTCTAGACTCGACAGCTCCCGCACTAGCTATCGTAATCCGTGAGAACCCTCGCCCGTAACTCGGCAGCCCCCCAGCTTTGCCGGGATGCCCTGAAATTCTATTGCCGTCAGAAGTAACGAGCTTGAAGCTCGGTAAACTGTGCAAATTGTCAACCCCAAAATGATGCCAACCCTCTGATGTTGCAGGCCCTCAGGGCTCCGGTTGGACAGAGGCCCCGAATGAAAGCTGCTTTGCCACCCACCTAGCTGACTGTAATCCGAGCTTGAAAAAATGCGATTTGACGTGCGACGGCAAGCGCTCCTTTTGTTGAATGCCGCTTGGGGTGCCATGGGGGTCCTGACAAAAGACTTCGGGCCCTTCGGGCCCTTTGGGCCCGACGGCAGACACCAAGAAGGGTCAACATTGTGGCAGGTTCCAGATGTTGATGCGGAGTTAGGCAGGGTAATGAATGAGTGAGGTTGTTGACTTAGGGCGCCGCGACATAAGACACGCTTAGTCGCTTAGCAGGTTCTGCTTCGCTTCGCACATGCTCAGGCGATGGGGCATCATGCAGTGCTGGGCACTGCCTGCCTTGACTTCTGCCACAGCCTGAGCTACACAACGTCGAAGAATAGGAGCTTGTAGACACATCACACAACATCTGCAATGCCCTCAGCTAGCCAACGCCACGCCAACTCGTCTGTTGGCAACATGCTTGCCTAGTGCTATGGGATGCAGTCAAGCCACGTTTCTGCGAATGGCTTGAGCCAACTTGTGGCACGCGTGAGACATTTCCTGTGCGATTTCTTCAATATTCGCAAGACGCTCGCGGGAAGGGGGCAGGGACCCAATGCTCATGGATCTTCATGAATCTTCATAATCTGTATACACAATGTATACACATGTAAGCAGCCTCACTGACTGACAGAAAGAGAGAGAGAGAGAGAGAGAGAAAGAAAGAAAGAGAGAAAGAGAGAGGAAGAGAGAGGAAGAGGGAACGAGAGAACTTGTGCTCGCAGCTTCGTACCAAAGTCTTATGGAAACAGGCCTCAATCCGGCGAACCCCTGGGACTGATCAGCTTGCACTAGGCTAGACGTCTTAACTCCAGGCTTCCCACGGAGGGGGCTGAATACAGGAAAGAGGACGGTAGTCAGTAGCCAGGGTGCTCTCTACCGAGAGCCCTACGCATGAATTGCACGCAGACCCCAAACAGCGTAAGACCACATAGCATTCCAAAGGCACCCTGAGAGCACACGTTGAGACTGAAAGACGCTGAGAGCACGACCACTCAAAGAGCACTCACAGATGACCCCAAAAAGAACTATAAGATACCAGAAACATGCGCGCGCGCGACCGAGGCGAGAGTGCGAATCGGAAAGCCCACGGAAAGCAAAGCGCACCTTTTCGCGCCGCGAAACTACGGTGCATTGTCTTATATACATATATATATATATATTATACCACATACATATATATATATATATATGTATATATAAATATGTACACATGTACTCTTTTAGGACTTGCAGCTGAAGCTCCGGGCCCCATAGTCGACGAGCCACTCGGGCATCAGCGATGAGGCATGCACGTAAACCTCAGAAAGCCGGCCGTAACTTCACAAACTGTGGAGTACAGCGACACCCGCTCCTGAGCATACGAAGGGAAACTATGCGACAGCACATGTCACCAGCCAACTCCCACCCAAAGCACTGAGGACCCATCGCGGAAGACCACGCGGCACTGCCCTGCGTTCTGCCGGCACGGCACAACTTGCCAGAAACCAGAAGCCTGGAAAATGTGTGGCTCACAGCACCGCGGATATTTTGCCGGAATTGCAGTTCGGCAGCTGGAGTCCAGTATTATCCGCATTGAAACCGTGTTAAACAAAAGCAGAGCCGGCCTCTCGAAGCACAAGGCCTGCGGCATCGGGATCTATATCGAAGCTGATGCGGCCGCGCCTTTGGTCCACATGATGCACCTAAGCAGCGCCACGTTTGTGAGGAGAGTATAGGAGAATACAGCTGGACCAAACGAGCGACCGCTGTCGCACGACTGAACCTTTGAGCTCCCGACCGTCGGAATCTGGAACCAGAACCGCCTCAATACTGCTTGACCGGTGGGCATGTGTAGAAAGAGATCATGTTCCCCTAAAACCCTAAAACCCCCTTATATACAGAACCCAAGGGTGGTCTAAGACCCTAAACCCCAAAACCTTCAAAGCCCTAAAACCCCAAAGCCCTCAATCTCAGTGCAGAAAAGCCTCGTGATCCTGTAGGTGCACTTGGCCATAAGTGTTGCGTCTCCGGCTGGCGAAGTGGAGTTCACTTCCTTAGTTGCTGAGTTCATAAGCCCCCAAAAAGTGTACACTGTCAGTTCTATAGGGGATTATAGGTTCCCAAAAAGTGTAAAATAAGCCCACAAAAAGTGCACACTTTCAGTTCTATAGGGGATTAATTAGAGTATCAAAAAAATGTAACGTGCACTCACTCAGCTACTAAGATTCTGCAGCACGGATGGCCGACATCATGTCCGGATACTGCCTCGAACGCGCAGCTCCATGGAATAGTTGACTGGCTGCACGAACTGGAGGGTTTACGAAAATAGGGGTACCTTCTTGGAGGTCCTTATTACAAGGGATCCTACTTTTTGGTTAACGTGCTGTATTTTCCCTGGGTACGGGCTCTGCGCGACACGTCGTTCGCACTGGCAGGCGTGGTACGGAGCAGAACAGCTGTTTTTAGGGGGTTCCCAAAACTATTCTTTTGGGACAGCATGGTTGGGAGTGTTTAATGAAGCATGTGAAGCCAGCTTTTCTTTTTGGGACAGCATGTTTGAGATGTTTTAGTGGAAGGTAAACGCTTGTGACAGATTTTCTTGTTCCACATCCTTGTGCAGTATGTTGTGCAAAGAGGCGAAAACGCTGTAAATACCAGTGCTTGGGGCATAAAAGGCTGTAAATACCAGAATTTTGGGCATGGTCGCGAAAGGCATGGACGCTTGCGACAGATTTTCTTGTTCCACATCCTTCTTCATTGATCCTTTCGTTGTTTTGGCGGATCGCGTTTCAACAAGTCCACCATCGGATTCAGGTCTTCAACCGCAACACCCTAAACACCACAATGCGAGACAATGCGATGTCATGATTCCAAGATGGCTCTTGCATGCTCTTACAGTAAGTCACTGGCTGGAAATTGCTCAAGCAGCGAAGGACCACGTGATCTGGAGCTCGGACATTGATCCGCACCAGACCCCATCCTGCGGATTTTTGGCAACTCTTCCATTTCCATGTGTAGGGTTCAGGGTTCAGGGTTTAGGGGCTTAGGGGTTTAGGGTTTAGGGTTTACTGCTCCAGCAACAGCCATGATATACAACAAGTTGCACAACCACTCGGCATCCAGAAACACTGCCATTGCTGCATCACGGCTGTGTGACTCTGATTTTTGGACTCGAAGCAGTTTGTCTCGGAGCCGGGTCAGGGAAATAGAGTGGGCCCACGGATCAACTGAGAAGCATTAAGACAACAGCACTCAACACTCAGACTTGAAAGCTGACGATAGCCAAACATCTAAACATCCAGGTGTGTTGCGGCAGCAAGCCTCGCTTGCCAAGCTGCCTTGGCATCAGCCATGAACTCAAGAAGGAAAGGCAGGGTGCTGAATCTCAACGTCGGGAAGCCCCACCCTAAAATGCTGCTCACGAATTATTCGCAATTTTTTTGTGCGGGTTTGAGGAGTTGGCCGTAGCATCAGCCAGGTTGCGCCTGCTTCTGGACACGGCCAGCGTCCGCAAGTACTTCATGCTCTTGGGCAGTAAGGTCCCACAAGTGCCTGGCGCACAAGCTGTGCTCACAGATCTCTAGCATGTCTGGTCATTGGCAGTCATGTCTCATCATCTATTGTGACCAGAGCTCAGACTTAAGACATATTTCCGCAAGATGAGGGTCATTCTAAACAAACCGAGCAACTCACACATGCTCTTTGAAGAACAGAACTGTAGCACGGGCCCCGGTAACACGAAAGGTAGACGTGGATGCCGACGTCTCTGCCTCGGGAAGTTCTTTGCCTCCAGCCAAGCATCGCCCCTGTCAGATCACATGCATGGGGAGAGCGTTTGGACCACAGCATGCGTGCATCACGACGTTTTCCATGATACTTCCGTCTTGATTTCAAGCATTTTTTGCCCGCCAGCTTGGCCGGACTCAGTCGCCACTCTGCCGGGACATTCATCGAAGCAGCTTCATGCTTTAAGCCGCATGCCACATTCCGTGACATCCTGCTTTGGGGTCTTCTAATGGGTGCTGCCTGATCCAGCAGAAGACTTTTACGCGCTTGCGGGCGTAGAACAGAATCACGTCAAGTCTTGCAAAGGTCGCACAAGACATGACCCGAAGCTGAACTGCGTATATGGGTACTTCCTGGCCTATAAAGTAGCGGCAGGAGAGAGACGCAGAGCTTGTTGCACCACCCACTTGCAGCGCACGCATGAGGCAAGTATATGCAAGTCCTTACGCCCCATGCAGTTGCATAGACGAACGTAGGTCTGTACACCCGACAATCCCGCGCTCGATTGATCTGCAAAAGGCAACAACAATTCCAAGATAGACGCAGGCAATTCCAATTTCAGGCACTCAAGCCAGATCATGCCCACTGCACAAGCCACACAGACAGCTCATCAGCTGCAAGCAACGTTGCTCCCAGCGCCGGGGCCTCATGTTTTGGGCAGACGCCCGACGAATTCGCCGGGCTCGCCGAAGCACAAGCGGGGAGGTCGCTATGGTGGCCTTTGCTGGCGCACATTGTTGACATGCCTTTTGTCTAGTAAGGCTTGTGGTGCTCGAAGACGACCACAGCGACCAAAGAGTATCGAACTCAAAGCGAAACCCAATCTGTTGAGTGACCGAGGCCAGACAGGACCAAACATGTCAGAACACCTCTTTCATCCAAGCCGAATGCTCTGCTCAGCTACCGGTCACACCGAGCTGGTGCATCTAAGTTGCAGCAGCCCACGCTGTGTGGTGAACAGCAGCGCGACCTCAAACAACAGATAACCACAGCTTTCCTTGCTCTAACCTAGCTCTCCGCTAAAAGTGCTGGGAAGATTTCAGGTGGCTTAAGGCTTAAGACAGTTTCTGATCAGACCACCCGACAGAGAAGTGGAACCGGGTGAACTGAGTTGAGTCAGGGGTACACACCTAGAGTAGTGGTATGCAGCCAGGATGCTGAATGAGTTGGCATTCGCTCGTGCAGCAACACGCTGCGCGGCCCAAGCACCACTGCTTCCTCTGCATGAGCTCACCAATTTCCGATTAGAGCAGATCAGGGGCAGAAAGTATGTGTGTTGGTTTTTGGAACTGGGGGGGGGGGGGGGGAGGAAGGCGCATGAGTCAACTCCACTACAACGCCTCGGCAAACATGGAGGTTCTCCAGCGCCGTGGAAGGGGCCAGCATGATTCCCAGGCGCTCAAAGCCCAGGCAAGGTGCTAACAAGATGTTGACCTTAATTTTAACATGCTGGCGTAACGAATGAAGGCACTGTGCTGCCAGCTCCGGGTTTACTGTCACTAGTACACTAGTTGATACTAGTTGATACTAGTTGCACCTAGTTGCACCTAGTTGCACCTAGTTGCACACAGTCGCACTACAGTAGTTCTCCTGCAACTGACTTGCACCCATTCTCACCTGCTTCGCGCTGCTGGGCCCTGGCACACTACCGTTCCACCGTCATCGCCCAACTGACAGCACTGCTGGTCTTAGAGAGACCAAGTGACAAGTGAAGTGAAACGGTGTCACTGTTGGAGTCGTATTGCTCCTTCCCGAGTCGTTCTCTCGAAACACGCGCGTTCGTCGGAGATGCGATCGGTGTGCGATCACCCTCCGGGGCTCCACTTTCCGCGTCCGCACCCTGGGGATTTCCCGGTTGCGCCATCAGGCACACTCTGCGGGCGTTTCAGGGCCTACGTGGCGCAGGTGGTGGAGGTGAAACTGTGACATATTCTACTTACCTGGGAGGAGGCCCAAGTCAAGATTTCAAGTCTTAGGCTGATTTGGGCGAACGTTGGGCTTCGACTCTCACACTCGCACAAGACAGGAAGGGCTTCACTCGGTTCTTCAGGTCCTAGGTACCAAAATACGGCCGCTTGCTCCACCAGCAACCACAAGTCTCAAATGATTTATGGGTGCATGCGTAGTGTAGGATCCGCTGTTTGGGCCCTCAAGAAACGCTGAGATTTGAGCTTCCTCCCTTGCTTCACCTATGCGATGTTTCTGTGCAGGGTCTCCGTTGTACCTTCGACCGGGACTTCGTCCGTGGCCACTAATTACTTCCGCCAAGGGATCACCCCGTAGGATTTTCAGACACGTCTTTTTATCGGCAAGATGCGAGAAATATCTGCCCTTGTCGGTCCGGAAATACAGCACTTCTTTACTTCTTTGCAGGACAGTCCAGCTTGTGGACGTGGCGGTGTGAAGCAGAGAGAACCTTGGGTCTGATTCCGGGAGCACCTTCAAAATTCGCTTGCAGAGAACCTTACGAACTGCATGACCCATGGCTCATCCGACATCGTTCTGCGTTAAAAGAATGGCTCGGGTGGAAGAGGTTCATCAGCATCTCGGAATTTCAGAACTGATTCTGTTCTCTTTGCTGGACCTCTGCAGTGCCTCCTCCATCGTGATGGCCCTTTGTCCATACTCGGAATTCATCCGCTTGCGGTCACAAACTTAAGACATTTAGACTCAAGGCTGCAGCGGCAATCGAAGGACTTGGCCGATAGTTTTGTGAATGCCTTGGATAAGAAAACCAAGAACACCACACCAGATCACCAGGTCCTTGACCTCACCTTCGACGCCACAGGTCAACACAGCGCGGAAATTAGCCAGCACTCCGTGCCGAGGGCGCTGCTCGAGTTCTGCGGGAGTCAATGGCTGTTGGCTACGGCTTAAAGACCACACGTAGCTCAAGAGAAACCCTGCGCGCAGCTCTTTTTAGTGATTCTAGTGGCTAGCAGAAATCAGTGAGAAGAAATTTTGCCAAGCCTTTCGCCAATGTTTCCAATAGCGTCCCCTCAGTCCTGGCCCACATCAGTGGGCTTTTCTAGACTCGTGAGACCAGGGATGCGGAAGTGCCTGCAGCAAGCAGCGCCGTACTAATTAACAGGGGCCTACTTCTCCAAGCTCAAGCTGCACCACCCTAAACCCTAAACCCTAAACCCTAAACTCTAAACCCTATTTGCGACAACACCTCTGGGCTCCTCTCGGCGCGCTTGATCAGCGCCGGCCTTGAGCTAGCCGTGCTCCGCCACCAAAAGGCTCCGGTGATTTACTCCTCTGACATGGAGCACATGGGATCATGGGGCTCCACAAGACGCTTTTTGTTGAGGGCTTCCTTGCAGCATGACGGAATCCCAAGACGTACCCTGCCTGCCACACCCCTTTTGAAAGCGCGGAATTTGAGCTGTAAGCCAAACCCCATAAACCCTAAACTCCAAACACTAAACCCTAAACCCTACACCCTAAACTGCGTTGCACGGCAGCGACCTGCTTCGCAGGGGCGTCGGGCGTTTTTGCACCCGCTGCGGCCTGGGACCCACTTGGACTCCCTTCTGAAGAAATACCCTTTTGCAGCAGGGTTTAGGGTTTAGGGCTTAGGTTTAGGGTTTAGGGCCGAAGCCCTACACCCCTAAATCCTACCCTTCACCCCCTTTGTAGTCTATAGAATATGCTCCCATGAGTTCTACTCCTCCTCTCAGAACCAGAAACATCTTATCAGTAATCAGGGGGTATAAGTTGGGATGTTCCCCCTTATACTAACACTCCTTAATAGAGATGATACTATAGCGATGATAATAGGGGAAACATAATCCCTATTAAGGACTGTTAGTATAAGGGGGAACATCCCAAGGTGTAAGGGTTTAGACTAGAGTTGAGGGTTTAGGGTGGCGGTGGCGGGGGGGGGGGAGTTTACACTGACTTTCTGTTCTCCGGAGCTCCGCTCAAATTTCGACTCTGGGACCCGAGCACACCAGTGCCCGCTATTGTGCAACACTCTGGCCTTGGCTCGCGGTTTAGGGTTTGGGGTTTTGTTTTAGGGTTTAGGGTTTAGGGTATAGGGTTTATAGGGTTTAGGGTTTAGGGTTAGGGTTTAGGGTTTACTCGCTCACACTCGGGCATGCCAGGCGAGGTACAATCTGTTCCAGAGGATTTTTTGCCATCCGCCTAGCTGACTCAGAGCTGCAGGGAACAACACACATTATACTGCTTCAGTAAAAATCCATGACTGGCCCTCTCACCTCTCTCTTCCTCATGCTGTCTACTTTGTTCCAGCTTCCCCCTCCCTCAGGCACGACATCCAGACACCAACACAACACTTACCAAATTCTCCACAAAGTGTTCGCCAAGGTGAGGCTTAAAGGCAGGACAAGGAAAGAGACTGCCTCACAGGGAAAAGACATTCCACTAACGTGCAGGCCTGTGCCTTTGAATCACCAACCAAACCACCGATTGACAGCCATCCCAAAGGATCCCACACCATCAAACACAAAAACATGAACCACGGATCCCAGCAATGTACAAACCTCCACCGGCACATAGGGTTTACGGTTTAGGGTTTAGGGGGTTCCGAAAATAGGGGACCCGAAATATAGACCCCCCAAATAGTAAGTAAGATTCCCTTATAACAAAGACCCCGACAAGGCACCCCTAATTTCGGAAACCCCCAAATCCCGCAGACTCAGAGAGCAAAGTCCCAGGGTCTGACCCTGTCTGAGATGACAGGAACACAGTGCACTCCAGAAAGTTGGAACATGGTTTAAGGATGATTTAGAGCTGGGATTCCCTTCAGTATACCTTTTGGGGTATGCGGATAAGGATGCTCCATCTTTATGGGTTTACAGTTTTACAGGATGTCCCCAAACAAGGCACAAGGATCTGGAAAATGGTCGGGCCACCATTCCAGACCAACCCCCCTAGTCCGGCACAGGTATCCCGAAATCGGAGTAAGCTTCGAGCAGCAGCCCAGGCGTGTCACCGCGGGGCATGCGCAACGGATGCTCGGCGGATCCTACCAAAATCACTCACTCGAACTGGGTTGCCGTGGAAAAAACTTGGGATGCGCAGCGGCACAGCAGAAGCAAACCACACAGAACCCACGCACTCCTGGTGACTGCGGCTTCACCTGCAGCCAAAAAGCACAACACAGCTTATGCATATGGGTGGTTGTCAAAATTCTGATCCCTTTTGGGGTACCCTAAATAGTAGGTGCCGTATTATAATCGGGATCCAAAAAGGGACCATAATTTTGCCAACCACCCATGTCTCTGTGGCCCGCCCTCTTCTTTGACGAAGTGCGAGGACAAAAAACTAAAGATAGCTGTGAAGTCGCGTGAAGTCACCGTGTCTCATCTAATTTCCAGCGAGCCCTCTAACTCTCAGGCTGCCAAAAACGTGCCACATAATTCATGTCACATGATGCCACATGAGCCTACCACATGTGCAAGGAGAGACTTTCGGCTCGTGGCCAGCACAAGCCGTATTTTACTGCCTGACGGCCCTTAAAGGGCCCCAACAGAAAGAAAAAACCACTTAACAATCATCACACAATCAATAACAAGCCTAGCAAGCAGGGCAGCGAAAGAACGCAGGGACCTCCGGAGCGGCAAAAGCATTCGCCCTTAGTTGTGTGAAGTATTCAATCTAAAGCAAAGCACCTCACTCAATGGCCGTCCAATCTCGGAGTTCAAGTTGTGCATGCTCGCAATGTGTGTGCTTCCCATGGCCAAGTGCCCCACTCAAGTGCCGGCCTGCCACAGCATACTGCAAAAGCTGATGAAGTGGGAATCGAACGCTGAGCTTGCCCATGCCCAAAATATAGCCGAAAGCTTCTCACAACAGATCAGGCTTGGTCTGCGCTACCATCACCTCGCCTCCCCAGAGAGGCCAGACTGTCCTTAGTGAATTGCACCGCCGCCGGTTTGATCAACCGTGTTCTGTTAGATACGGTAACTACGTCACTCTACGTCTGCAACATCTTGTCGGGACTTGGTGGTTGCTGAGAGGTGGGCCCCATTCACGCCTGCAAGAACTTGAATGCCGAGCATCAACAGAAAGAGCTGAAAGACTCAAAAAGCAACAGCGCATGCGCTGGGCAAACGCAGGAACGGGCTTTGTGCCATACCCTCATTGCATGCTTTCAGCCCTCTGCCCTCCGTCTTCAACCTTAACTGTCAGCTTGCGGAGCACACCCCAATCGGCCTGAACTTTGGCAGCGGCAGTTGCTGATTATCAAGCCTTGGCAGCTGAACAAATTTTAGGAAACCTCCTGCTGACAAGATTGCATTGAGACAGCACTTGTGTGCAGGGTTGGCCAGGCGGATCGGACTTAATTCTGAAGGGCGCAACGCACGTCCGACCGTCACAAGACATGCGCTACTCAATAGGGTTGTTGAGGCACTAAGCCTGCGAGGAAGTCTTCAGAATGCCGATACTCTACAGCTGATACAACTACGGCAGCTATGGCCCATGGTTGCAAGGCTCTTGAACAAAGCCTGTAAGACGCAAAAGCACTCAATATACCACTCTTGCTCATTGAATGCTTGGCGCCCAACGCTCCAATTGGAGCTCAATCCGTTCCAATCGCTCCAAAACCTTGTCAGAGAACCAGGCGACACAAAATCGGCGCACATGCAGAAACAGGAAGATTTTCTATGATTGTATCCTGGAGAACGCCACTTCCTGTTGTTCTTCTGAAGTGCTCCCGGGGATTTCGGAGATACTTCCACGATGCAACCGCCGGCACCGGTGGCTAAGGAAAGGGCAGCAGCATCAGCAACAGGTCTCGGTGGAGTTTGGAAGTTCAGTGGATCCTTGGACCCATGCCTGTCAGCATCTTCTGTCAGCGGGTGCACTCATAGACTTGCCAAAAGTCAGTGCGCATTCTGCCCGTCACTGCATCAGGCTCGCCTTGTCAAGCGTCCCCGGCCGGCTGCGCTGCTCACACTTTGGGCGATCTCCTCGCCAGAAGACGGCTATGCAACTCGTGATGGGTGAACCGTCTTGAGCATGCGTGACCATGTGGTTCAGGACTCAGGAAGCATGACTTTACACTAAGGGTGAACTTCGAAAAAGCCAGGCCTTCACCATGTAATCCTCAGCTGCAAGACAGATGAGCAGTTCACCATGCATTGCTTTCACACCTGTTTCCTTTTCCTTCCGTGTCAAATTCCGAGAGGTTAAGAAACCACAGCCTGCAAAAGCAACCTTGATCCGGCTTGTGCCTAGAGTTGCGCACCTCTTGTTCCTGGTGTCTAGATCCGAAAACTCCTTCTACGCCAGGCGGCAATCTTCTGCTCAGAAGTGAGGGCCAACTCTCCGAGGGCGCCAGGAGACTGGCCAACAGATGAATGTAGCCATAATCACTCAGCCGCTGCGCAGCACCAAAGGCAAAGATACGACCACTTGCAGCTTACAAGCCGAAGCTCCTATGATCGGCGAAAGCTGGGACTTCTTGTGGGGACATGTGCAAAGAATGCCCTGCACCCTGCCTGTTCCTCCTCCAGCATGCGCTCGGTCCAAGCTTCGGACACTCGCCTGGGCAGAATTTTGCGTGAAGCAGTGCAGCAAGTGCTGCTTCCGGCACTCCCTTCATCTCTAACCGGGGGAACTGAGGTCGTGAGCTCCCTTATCCGGTAATCCCTGTGAGGAACGATTGGGAATAGTGACTGTGGGGCACTTTCTGTTTTCTGCCCTAAACCCTAAACCCTAAACCCTAAACCCTAAACCCTAAATCCTAAACCCTTTACCCTCGTTCGGAAGACATGGGCCACTTTCGGGTGCCAAGGCACAACTTGTCCATGATCTGCTCGGCTTTCTGCGGAGTGAGCTCCTCCAACCCCAGGCCCATCTCGGTTTAGGGTTTAGGGTTTAGGGTTTGGGGTTTGGGGTTTAGGGTTTGGGGTTTAGGGTTTAGGGTTTAGGGGAGGGGCAGTGAGCACAATAGGTTGCGGCAGAATGTGCAGGAGGCTGAAGACGCGCTCCCATCCACAAAACACACGACGGCCCCTCTTCACAGTACAGCAGCAGCATCGCCAAACCCTGATACTCATGGGTTCCTGGCTTCTAATCAGAACCGGAGAGCTCAACGAAACCCCCCTCATGCAGCAGCAGTCTCCTTATACATAGATATATATATATATACATATAATACTCATTCAGGCGCTATTAAAACCTACTTCCCTATTTGGCCACTATGGCTGTCCGGGAGCCTAGCCCAAAACTGTCACGACCAGGCAAGCGTTCCAACGTAGCCAGCGATCCCTATGCTCCTCAAGACCAATCTTGCGGGCCGTCTCGAAGACGTCATGGATCCAACCTCAGGAGGACATCGGAGATTGCTTCCATCACACTTTGTTTGCCAAACGCGATGAATATTGCCCTGGCGGCCTTGCCACCAAAAAGAGCTTACTAAGCTGTATATACTGCAAGAACGAAACTCTACTTCAGGCTCAGACGGTTTTGAGGATCTCGTTCCTCCGCTGTGAGCTCCACTCTGTAGATCTTGGCAACTGCAAAAAGGGCCTGAGAGCGGCATCGTCTTGCATTAGCTCTCTTCATCTTGGTGCTGGATAAGAGCACAAAGAGAGTGATTCCCATTGCTGATCCAAAGCATATCTGAAAGGTCAAAACACAGACCGGCAAATCATGCAGACCATCTCCAGCACATGCTGCATGATAGGGCCGCCACCATCAATGCTGCCGCTTTCCTAAATCGCATCTGCTCCTGCATCACCAATTCTCTCTGAGCAACTCTGAATCTCCGGGACTGACACTTCATGTCAAACCCTAAGCCCTAAGCCCTAGACCCTAAACCCTAAACCCTAGTCAAGCTCCAGGACTGACACAGGGACGAGCAAGGCAAAGAGACACCTCCGGGAAGTCTAGGAGGACGTGCGACAGCGAGTCGCGGCTGAGGGACATGATTTCCTCAACAACGTTGAGGGCATGAGGGGGCGACAGGCCTTCTCCCAAACTCGTGCATTTCAGAACTAGAGGTCTTGAAGAATTGCAGGCCAGGAGCTGTGTAGGTGAGAGCCATGGCAGAGCTGTCCTGCAGGCTGCAGCAGGGTGTAAGATGCTGCGGGCTTGTCATGTCTTCACCCCATGTCTGCAGCACATTGCACCCCCCAATCATCCTGGCGGAGCATGGCCATGCGGATGAGCATGTCCTGGCAAGGTCTCTTCGTTCTGCGGCAAGTGACTGAAAGGCGGCCGAGGAAAGTCTGCATGGGTTTCGCCCTGCGTGTAATGAGCTTGCACAGAACCGAAGACTGAGAACACCAAGTGCAGGCGCCTCGCCCCAGTACCCCCAAGGTACTAAAATTCGACCAAGACGTCCCACGGCTCCACGCTCAACCACATTCAGCCTCAGCAGGTCCAGGGTTAGCTGCAAAGCGAACGTCTGAACTGCACACATCTACACAGGAGCTTTGGTGCTTTGTACTGAGTTGGTCCTGGCTCTTGCCTGAGGTCTGAACTGAACGGGCTTTTCTATGACCTCCCGGCGCTCATAGAACATTGGCACCTCGGCAGTAATGCGACTGCAGATTCAGAGGTGCAGCCGAAGGCACTAGCAGTAGGGGTACTAGCTTGACACGCATGTCACGAATTAAGGCGGCGACGAAGTTCTTCGCACAATCTTCGCGAAATTGGGCTTTGGTTCCTGGCCGCAGCTGCCGAGCACGCGTTTTTTCTGAACCCTCCACTGCTCTACCAGTCAGAGTGTTGGGCCGGAGAACATTGTGGGCCCAAAGAATGCGCATGTCTCCGCCAGCAGCAACGTGGGATTAGTCTTCCATTGCAAGTCGAGACAAAAGCAACGGGCCTTTGAAGAACCAAATGTGGTTGATGTAGTGCGACCTTGGCATCAGAGCCCTGGCGAAAAAAAACACAAGTCACGAGCAAGACAGGAAAGTTTCTTTCAGAGGCGATCAGAAACAGCTCATGCCGAGCCACGCCATCTGTCGCGCCACGGTGCCCCGCAGGTCAGCCCCAAGCCCTTCCCAAGCATCCTGGCATCTCTTCCATGGCGTTTGGGCTTTGGGCTCCGCTTGCTACAACTTCAGGGATCTTTCGGCTCTTTAGAGTTTGGGCGGGGTGAAAAGGGGGGTTGGGGGGCATTGATCTTGCCAGGGTCTATTAGCCTTGAGGCTCTGAGAAGTCTTGGCATCAACGCGTCCAAGTCACGATGTTGCGGAGGTAGTGCATGTGAAAGCGCTGCTCTCCTCAGAGAAGTTGATTTGCGACGCTAACTACAAAACAGACAATTTCTGCTTCACCCATCTCAATGCACTGCAGCTGGGCGACGAATGAACTCGCGTCCGCGCCAGCGAATGTGCCCAGGCAAATCCTGCTCAAGTAGGCGACTGTACAAGCACAGCAGATGGTCACTGGAGTCACAACCAGCACATGCAAATTTACTTTGCGCTCGCGCTCTCCTGGTCATGAGCCATGGCATTGAAATCATCAATCCTGCGCAACAGGCATGGTAGTCAGACTGGCCTACCAACGCACATGAAGGGACAAATCAAAGTCTAAGAATCTGTGCAAGAAAATGCGCCCTGTTGTCATGTAGGATCCGCGGCACGCCCAGCTTCCCCCAAATGAAGGGGCAAACGGCGGACGTCCCCTACAGGCCTTCTTTCGAACTCGCTCAGTTCGGGGTCCTCGGCTGGCCAATGTCAAGACTGACAAATCAACTCAAGGCTTCCCCATGCACTTACACATTCGAAGAGTCGAATGTCTACTACCCACCGGAGCTCTTCAAATGTTTAGAGTGTGACGCAGCCCAAGGTGCCATCTTGGACATCACGGCGCAAGCAGCGCCGATGATGTAGGCCCAGACGATGGAGCTAATCATCATGCCTGCGACATGCGTCCGTGGGGGGGAGGGCTATGAGTGGCACTTCAGGTTCTTCGGGCCGTGAGTACAGCGCCACTTTCTGTCGAACAGCCGCTAAGAGCAGGGCAGGTGGTGCACACCAAGTATTCTGCCGGAGTGTATGGAAGAACATCTCCGTACCCAACCTGAAGGCGCCGCGGAGCACTAGCTTTGGGTAGAGGAAGTGAGCCCAATATGCTGACCGATAGTAGCAGGCCCACCCTTTCCTACTACTGCGCATGTGAGGGTTTCCATCCGAGGCACGGAGGTCATGGTCATCACCGACCTCAACGGAAGCTCAAGTGCAACATCTCACAGTGTCTCACTTCAATGGGCCCGCTGGGTTTCTGACCAGTACAAGGCCGCTATGTAGACAGTGCCTTGGTCCGCAGCAAGGCAACGGTACACTGGAGAGTAAGGCAAGAACTCACAGTTTGCAAGAAACTCTGCTTCTGGAGGCCCTTCGGAAAAAACCATGCACCTCCTACTATCCTAGACGTCTTGCCCAGTTGCCTAGCTGTTTTCAAGTTATGAGTCTCCCCTTTCCCTCTTCTTGCGTTGAAGGCTGCCATTGTCGCAAGGATTCGTTGGAGAGCTCGCTGCACGACTGGCTGCCCATCTCACCTCAGCTCACTGGACACCCCCGATATAACCAACTAAATACATACATACATACATATATATATATATGTATTCGGCCAATGTGCAAACCTCTTGGCTCAGACTGGTCGGCTAAGCGGCCAAGTGGCCCTATGCGATACTCAAAACAACTGAAGATCTAAGCACGTCAAGCGGCCACCCAGCTGTCTCCAAACCACTGAGAGGGGTTGTGAGCGTCACCTGCCCAAGGGCACCATGGCAAGGCATCTGGGAGTCATGGGCTTGGTCTTATGAAGCGTAAAGACGAGCCTGCACGTTCTTCGAAGAAGTACGTGGCATCAGGATTTGATGCCATGAGACCAAGCGGATCTCCGTCTTGCTGCCTCGATGCCCAGCTCTGTTTTTGGCTCTGTGCTACATCAGTCCTCTTGCCGGGGCATTGCATCTGGCTGTGGCAGCATCAAAGGGAAGCACCGGTGCAGGAAGATGCGCAAACAGAATTAAGAGTACAGTAGAGTAGGTGCAGTCGAGCGGCAGCTCATCCTTGCACTTCCTTGAGGGTGGACACAGAGACTTCCCGTGAACAGGTAAGCACGCCATGCGCGTGTATGTGTTTGTGTACAGATGCCCGTCCTCTGTGTGCCTAGCTGCATATGTTTCATTTTCCCAATTGTGACAATTAAAACGGGTACAGCTTCAGATATTTCCCTCCGTCTTCCTTCGGTTGCCTTACTTCCGAGTCAACTGCAAGAAGTCTCCATGTCGGAGATGGACAAAAAGCAAGGAGGGCTAGCTAGTGTGTTTTCGCGCAAGTGAACACTGTGCCCTTGACTCCGGGGCTTAAGCTGAAGCCTTCCAGGGATGCCAGGAAATCCCCAGCCAAACGGACCACAGACCACCCCAGAAAATATGATTGCGAGTGCTCTTCCTGCCCCAGACAGCAAAACACCATATTGATGGCGTCCCAAAAGTCGCTGCAGGCCGCGGACCCTAATGGGCCGAATGGGCCCCAACTACGTCCAAAGCTCACAGCTCACAATACGGCTGTGTTGCTTTGCTTTGTGAGGCTGAAGCGGAGGCGGGAAGGATCTCTTTCATGATGACTGGGAAGTTGTTGGACAGGTGCGGATATCTCGCATGCATCCGAGCAGCAGCATGCTTCCTTCGAGCAGGCCCAAGAATCCCCAGATGCAGGCCTGGCAGAGCAAGATGAAAAAGCCGCAACCCGCCTAGCAAACTTGTGTGCCACGCTGCAGACCCTGTTTTTGTTGCATGCTTTGGCCTAGGGGCCTAGGGCTTAGACTAGTGCTGTATAGTGCTGTCCTGCTCGTCTGGCTCTGCGTGTCCGCATCACAGACAGGCTGGTGGTCAGGGCTGGCTCATTGCTGCTGGAAAGCTCATGTAGCTGGCAGCCGGTCTCTTCAAGCCGTGGGTGAAAAGGAAACATGCACCCTTTCAATGCAGGCAGCGCGGCCATCCAGTGGCACGAGAGAATGATCAACATGGCAAACTTTATCAAGTACAGACTCCTTGGTTGCGAGCGCGCAGTCGAGTGCGAGAAGTTTGCGGGCGAATATGCCTACGACTCATGGTGGCTGCACGTCTCCGCTGATTCAACTGGCAACTCACAGACCAGATAGGAGCCAGCTGGATCTATCTGCTTTTCCTATTGCACCACATTCACGAGCGAGAGTCGTGCTCTTCAGCGCTATTCGATTTTCCCAGCGCTTCACCATTCGGCTGGCCTGAGCGACATTGCGGCAGCCACTGTGGACCAGTCAAAGCTCCGCTTTCGACATCCGGGATGAATGGGCACAGTTCTCTATCACTCACAACACTCAGAGCCCAGCTTTGAGAATCCGAAGAAGTTTGACGAGCCGGAGAACCTCAGCTGACACTAGGGAAGTGGCCATTGCCTCGCAAGCGAGTTCTCTAGCTTTGCTTCGAAACCGCGGCAAACCTCACAAACGCGAGATGACGCACAGCTACTGTAGATGCCACAAACGAAAGATGACACAGCTACTGTAGATGCCACCGACGAGCCGTGAGACTTCTATTGAGTTCCGATGAGTTCTGATTGCAGGCGGGCAGCCCTGATCGTTCTCAGGATCTTCACGCTCTGTATACCTGGGAGACCGGGGTGAAGCAGCGAGGACCCCACGATCTGCGCTTGGCTTGGACTTTCTTGTGTGCATCAGTGGATTCATTCTGCACCTATATAAATATATATGTATATACAGAGGCAGAGAGAGAGAGAGAGAGAGAGAGAGAGAGAAGAGAGACGCACGCACACAGAGTCACACATACGGGCGCAGTCAGCTTCTGAAAACTCCTTGGCGCAGACAAGGCTGCCGTCAGCGCTCTCCTGGAGCAGGTCCGTGAAGTCATCGTACGGAAGAACCGACGCTAAGTCGATCCTTGGGTGCCCAGTTCTGAGGTTCTGCTAAAGCGAAGCTGCTGAGGGCACATACACAGAAGGCCTACTTATAAGCAGAAACGATATTTGCGATGCCACGCCGGGGTGCAGAAACCAGGTCTTGACGTACAGCACGGCCACTTTCCAGCGGTCCCGCACCCAGATCTTCCCTTGCCTGCCCGCAGAAAGCGCCCTCATAAAGTTGTTGCCTGTATTGCTCACTTTTGCAGTGCCATAGATTGCTGACCTCGACTGGGCTGTGGTCAACTTACCTGCTCCCTTGTGTCCAGACATGCTTGGGGATGGTGTGAGCAGACCGAGGCCTTGTGTTTCGTTCCACCTTCATGAAAAACTGCATGACCTCGGGAGCACACCAGCAGGCCGCAGATGACTGCAGAGCTGCCACGCCTTTTTCCCACGAAGCTGGGCCAGTGCAAGCGAGCTGCCATGTCCTTGATGAACACGACGTCCACCTCAAGAAGACGATATGCAGAATAAGCAACCTACTGCATCGTACTCATGACTGGATCTGCACCTGGACTGGAGCGCCTGCATCGAGTGCTTTACAGGAGCCAAGAAGACTGACATAGTCTGAGGCATCGGCTATTCGATTGATAACCTGATCAGATGTCTGCAAGTCGCCACTAGCAAACGCTACATGAGTGAAGCGCACCAAGTTCTGTGAACTTGGCTTGACAGTGCGGCAGATCAACTGACCTCGTGAAGAGCATTGTGCCGAAGAATTGGATCCAAGCCGCCAGTAGAATGCTGTCACGGTCAGGGATGAATGCGATCTCGTATGGCGTGACCAGCGCAGTGTAGACCAAGCAGAAGACCTCGACTAGCACGGCATGCATCGTCTGATTTGGTAAGTTGCGGAAATGGTGGGAGTGCCGCTAATCCATCGGGAATGGTGTGAAAGGTGATTCTGTCTGGTGAAAGTAGTGGTAATGGTGAGAGCGGTTGATAGTGGGACTGTAGGGGGTATGGTGGAAGTGGGAGCAGAATACAGGGAATAGAGGGAATGGTGATGGACGTGATGGTGATGGTGGTGGTGGGATTGGTGGCAATAACAGCCGTGACAAAGTGCTGCCACCGGATCAGTCGGTATGGTGGCTGGCGCACGGCGGAATGCGACACAGCTGATGTGTTAACAGAGGACACTGTCTGATTTGCAACCTGTTACAGGGGACGTCGGATCGGGCAGTGGGTCTTTTTTTAACTTCTGCAATAAAGGTCGAGTTCGCCATGGGCAAAGACCGGTGCACCTATCATCACTTTGCTTCAGCTCTTGCATAGCCATGCGTAGCCAAGCGACAAGTATGAAGTCCCACAGCCGCATATAAGTTGAATGCGGATCTATCACCTGAGCAAGTTCCCACTCTGGGCTCCGATGACATAATGAACCAGGACTAACCAGGACCCTGGGACGAATCAAAGGCAAGAAGGGAAAAGCGCGCGGAGTATGTTGCTGCGCCAAGCGACGTAAATGCGGGCTTTCAGCGCGTCTCTGAGCAACTCCACCTGCAGAAGGATAAGGAGCAGGTATGGCGAGCAAGGTCAGCCGTGCTTGCGCTGCAAGGCAGAATGTGAGGATGCGAATGTGAAGCAGTCAGTTGTCCCAGCATAGGCGAGTCAGTATGAAAGGCCTGCTCGGCAACTGGGACTTCAGTCCACTGCTTGCCTGCGAGCTTGGCTCCACTGCGCCATTACACAATGACAAATCCAAGGCCAGTTTGAAGGCGCTAACCGCCAACCTCCATTTACATCAAGGGCCGCTGCAGGCCATGGGATTTTTACTTGCTGACTCCCAACATGCACCGCCATCTTGTCACAGACTCATCCCGGGACGTGGCGAAGCTCCAGGCTCGAATATCATCATTATCAGTATGATTACTACTATTGTTAGTACATTGTTACCTTTTCTTTCATATTCTTATGTTCCCCAAACACACGAGACGCCAGGGTGCCGGGAAACTTCGACGCGGCCAGGTCATTGAAGTTCTTAGTTGACGCTCTTGTGTATCATCCACGCCAGGGTTTGGAGGATGCGGCAACATGAAGAACAGGCATCGGAGCGCAGCGCACGCTATCAGAGTCATCCGGGCCCCGCAAGTGCTTGGCCGAGGGTCAATAGCCCTCAATGTCATGGTCTCGAAGCACGAGCCTCCGAAGGATGCAAAACGGAGCATGTCTGAATCATATCAGAACCTATTGATATGCAAAAAACAATGTAACAATATGCTAACAGTCATTCATGATACTCAATAGGTCGGTCTAACTGTCTATCTGCTTGCCGCGTGTTCTCAAATGCGGCTTCGCGACACTTGGAGCAGCACTCAACATCCGGCGAATTCCTCCCGCAATTACACTCAGGCTTATAATGCGGGGCTTTACGAAATTAGGGGTACCTTATTGGGGTCGCAACCGGTTCCTACAGGATCCGCCGAACCGAAACGACGCTAGACGAACCGAACATTCCTGTTATAAGGGGATCCTGCTATTTGGGGGTCCCCATTTTCGTGAAATCCTAATGGGACCATGGTAACCGACCTAAGGTGGGATGTGGGGAGCTGATTCGGATTAGGAGACTGGTTTAATTACTTGCCGGGCACAGTTCGCCCCTTCGGCTGGCGTACCGATCTACAGTGAGATGCAGCATGGATGGCTATGAATGTTGCTCGATGTGCAGAGACAAGTTGGAGTTAGAGCCAACAACGTCCCTACTCTGGGCAAAGCATGTTATAGCGAATGCCTTACCCAAGAACTAGTTGTATCTAGTTGTGGTAAGTAAGTTAGCCACGTCCGGTTGCACACGCTCGTGAATCAAGACAACCCAACACTCCCCCGAGGCGGTCCCCAGAGAATAACCGCGGTTCTCATCTTCCTGCCAGCAGACTTGCCATGAAAGAGCACATGGCCTTTCTGAGTATGATCACTTCATGTTCTCTACCGGTTGACAAACCCTGATGCAGAGAATGCAACACCAGGAGCAGTTGCACACAGCTGCGGCCAACCCTGAAACCTGGATTCTCGAAAAGCTTCGCGCCTGCTTCCTCTGCTCTTGCACAGCCCTGAGACCGACGGAGTCTCCCCCACCAGCTGTCTTTCGCGCGGCCCTGGCTCAACGAGGGATTGCTCTTCCTCACTATTTGACCTCTATTTGGTGAACTCTGTGTGCCCCTCCGTCAGAAAAACATGAAGTCGCTGAATCCCAGCATCTGTTGTTCATCTCTCTTCACGCACGCCGATGCTTCTACCAGAGCGGTTGATAAACCCAGGCTTCTTTGCAAGGCTAGACAGTCAGACCTTACAACTCCTTTCGAAGCCCTGTACAGACACGTCCATTTTATTTATAATTGGGTGTGGAGCAGACAGCCGACAAAGCATTGAAGCATCCTGTGGGGGGGCCTGGCACCGCGTGCATGCCTTGGTCGCGCATACTTTGTGGAGTCGTTGGGCTTAGGGCTTATTCTGACCACCCGTCGTCGGCAACGCTCAAACGAAAGCTCGAACACAGATGCCCGAAACCCGGTCAATTCTGGGCCTAAGGCACCTAAGAGTTATACTCACGGCACTTGTAAGTGAGGTTTTCACCGGTGGTTGTCTTTACCGTTTACATGAGGGTCAGAAGCTACTGAAGATACCTGCCTCATCCCCATCCCCGATGTCGACTCTTGCACCCTCTTGCCGACCCAGGAGCGGCCGCCCCAGCGGTGAGGTGAGGGAGAGAGTGCCTGTGCTTCAGCAAGGAGCCCTAAAATGACTTGAAGAAGTGCAGGGGGGGTGGGCCCAAAACAGCTGCAGAATCTACACTCTCCTGACTGACCCCCGAAGCTCAGGCCACGTTCGTCTCGCAGATTCGAGGTTCTGCAATGGACACCATGGAGGCACGCCAGGCTTTTCATCACGTTCAGCATCAAGGCTCTTGGGATCAAGAACCACTTCGGCTCCATTGCAGGCCCTCGAATCCCGAAGCTTGAAGCCTGTCTGAGGGCGACACCTGCTCTGCTGACCGACTTAGTCTTGTCGTAGGTCATCTTCAGGAAGTCACTGTGACATGATCGGGCCTGCAGCTCTCAGCAATATTCAATAATATTCACAGCACCCACACAGCATCTCGTGAGCTGTTGCGGACTTGTAGGCTGGGAAGTGCATTGGGCTCAGGGAGGGTTGGCATTGGTTCTAAGACGGGCCTGTCCATCACGGCGTAGCTGCGGGCCATTTCCCTACAGCTCAGAGGCGCCCAGGGTTTCTCAAGGAATGCGGTGTTGGCTCGGGTGGGGCGCCATGAGACTATGGCTAGTAGGGTTTGGGATGTTGAGTGACTTGCTGGAAACGTGGAAACGTGGACTTGAAGAGGCTGCTGGGTTGGGGTCTCTTCTTTGGGTCCCAGGCAACCGCCCGGAGCCTCTGGTTACCCCTGTTTTGTGAACCTGGACGGCAAGCAAATTCGATAGGCAGACGTCTCATGACACCTCACATCTTCAGTGCATAGACGTCCCACTAGCTACCACCACCAGCAGCACGTTTCGTTGGAGTGCTGCCTTTTCAGCTCCGCGATTCCTCGGGTGCCATTCGGCAACCCTCTGCGATCCCTTGCTCTTCAGCTGCCCTTTTAAAGGGGCGAAGCTGCTCAGCACTTCTTTAGCGGTAGCTGGCTACGACACTTACAACTTACAACATGCTTAGGGCTTAGCACGCGTGAAAAACCGCAGTGCTCACGGCCTCCGGTGGCCGAGGTCAGGCATCCTCCTCGCTCTCGTCGTCTCCTGCAGAGAGGGGCCATGACGTTCAAGTGCATCAACCTTCGCACTGCAAAAACTGGATGTCCAGAGATTTATCCTGGGAACGGCCTCTACGAGCACCGATGTGAGATGATGTGAGTCAATGCCTTTTCCCTGACCCAGCAAGTGAAGCCACCAGCCACATGCCGGCAGCTCATGCGGCTTTGTCTTTGCACAACTACATACAACTAGGCCGAACGAGGTCTGAACCAAACAAATCTGGAATCATTGAGCTGTGGCCTGCGTCCATGCTGCCGGAGACATCTAAGCCTTTGGCCTCCTGCACCAGCTCCTTCCAAGAGACACATTCGAAGCAGTTGTTCCCCCCATGTCCCCCCCAAGCACAGAGTGCCGATGAGAGCGAGAAGGGCTTGCGCGGGTCGCCTTGCCATAAACCTTTGCGAGCTCGACCATGGACACGGTGCCATCCTACATGTCAGAAGCAGGCAACGCTCACTGCTAGGAAAAAGACCTGACTTCTCAAAGTCTATGAACCAGAACCAGTGCAAGCACCTAGCCCTTCTGAATCCGTACGGCTGGCTGAACATGGCGGGAAGTTATTGCGAAATTCAACAAGCGAGTCGAGGCTGACCTTGCCTCAGGTGAGCTTGAAGATTTCGCTGATCGTAAACTTGGGCTTACAACTAGAGGTTGCCTGCTAAGCTGAATTGCGTAGACATTCGAATCGCCTTGCTAAGAAATCGGCCCCATTCACACATTGTTTTGGGGAGTCAACAAAAATTGACTTCCGGGCGGATGCGAGCCCGGAACTTCCCAGGGGTCTTGGCCCTCAACTCTGATTCCGTCCCAAAAAGTTCGAAACATATTCTTGAGCAAGCGTGCCATGATAATTTGTTGCATCGACAGTATCTGCATCCATTCGCAGCTCACCTTGTTCTTGTCCACGGCATCGAAGGCACTCTGCAACATTTGTTGGTCGCTGGCGGTATTTGCGCCGAACAAGTGCTCAAACTCCTCCAGGGTGGCGCAGATGGCATGGGAATGGGCAGCGGGAAGTTCGTTAAGTGCAGGTGCTGCACCGGGAAGTCGTTTTGAGTAGCATGCATCAGCTTTGGGCAAGCCCACCTCCATGCTGATGCTGCCGTTGGCATCAGCATCTGCGGCCGAGAAGGCTGCGGCGATCTGCAAGACAGGGATGCAAACTTCAGGGCAGCTCACTTGGCGATACGAAGTGAGAACGACCAACGGATTTCTAAACCAGCACCTGGCGCTTGTCAGCGCTCGACGCCGTCACAGAGAGGCGACCTTGATGGCTACCAGACATTCTCAGACTATCACATATTGTCATGCCTGACACCGGGACTTACATGCCTGACATGAGATCTGTTGCTGCAGGCCGCGTCTTGACTAGCTGCTAGTCACAGCACAAGTTCACCCTTGATGAGGCCACAATGTCTGCATCCCAGCCACGCTTCGTACTCATGATGTAGGACACCTCAAGCATCAAAGTGTTGGTGTTGCCCCGAATCTGGCAAGCAACACCCTGATTCCGGGCTTCAGCAACATAAACTCCGACACCAAACTCTGCCCATGGTGCCCAAACTGCGATGCCCTTTACATCCAGGCCTCTTGAACACAAGCCTTAATCAAACTGGAGAGCCCGGTGCTACCAAGCCCGGCCACGCCTGTAAAACTTTTCAGGGTTAAGCGGGTTTGGAAAGCAACCACGCCTAACATACGACTTGGCAGCCCAGCAGAAATGCCCATGCAGACTGAACCTGCCCAAGCACCAAAGCGCTGCCAGGCCTCTCTACTGTCTGAAGTGGAAGTTCAGGGAGGGTCTGCAGGGTCTGTGTGAGGGCATGCCACTTGTGGCGGGGGAGGGTTTTCGGGAAGAACTCATCTGGTTGCCTAGGCCAAGCCGCAAATTCCCCACAGTGAATCTTGCCGTCGCTGTTCTTGTCCATCTGAGCAAAGACCTTCCTTGCGATGTTTGCCGGATCTCGGAGCCACCAAGATTGATGAGGGACACATTCTTGTGCTGTTGGCTAGTCGGGAGTCTGCTTTGCAGCATGCGTTTGTCAGGCGCATTCTGCGGTCCCTCTTCGTCGAGCCGAGGCTCACGACTGCCAGACCGTTGTCCAAGGTCTCGGCAGAGTCCGGGAAGAGAATGCGCCTGAAGGCAGGCGAAGCAGCAACAATCCATGTGATGCATATGCGCATGGATCAACAGCCTCATAGTGACCACATCTACATGCTTGTTTATCATTCTGCGGTGCAAAAAAGCAAGAGAGAGAGAGAGAGAGAGAGTGCGAGAGAGAGCGAGCGAGAGAGAGAGAGAGAGAGATCATGCCTGATATCTGCCAAGCGCAGGAATCCACGTTTGTTCATGTCGGCTTTCTGGAAGATCTGCCAAAGATGTGGCAGGCAGCGGGCGTCTCAAGTTAACGCCAGGTCCAAGCCCCACAAGTGCGCCTGGTTTCCTTCTACCTCAACTAACCAACCCATTATTGACCACCACCACCTCCACCACCATCACGAACGCGACAAAACATGCAAAGCCTCGCATCTCGGAGCCTCGCGCAGCGCCTGGGCGTTGAGCAGCTGCAGGCTCCGGACCACAGCCGGAAGGTCGGGCTCCTCGCCTGGACAGGCACCGCCTAAGGCAGCTTGCGCAGAATGGCGAAGATGCCTGCATGGATGAGTACTTGTAACCATACTAGGGCACTTTAGGGGGCTTATAAGTGGGTTAGAAGTACAGTTATCATTGGTTAGTAAATACCATGAACCTCCAAGTAGGCATCTCCCTCACCCAGAACCCAAGCGAAGACAGGCAAGCATGAACAGGTCAGATGGCCTTTCAGGTCGAACTCGCACTCGGAGAGATCCAGCCCCCCAGGATCCGGGGCAGGCCTTGGGAGTACAAGCCAAGAAGTCTGATGGCCCCCATAGAGCGGCGTAAAGTTTCAGCCACTCAAAAATCCCCTTCCCAGAACCCACATGAAACCTCCAACCTTGATTCCCCTCTTGTTGCCTCACCTGGCGTTGCTTACCGGACCGAGATGATAAACAAACGTCTCCAACGGCGGTTTATACTTTTAGCCAGGAGCCAGATGCCTTCCAGTCCCTGAGCGCCCGCGCTTGTATCTGTCTGCATTTGGATCAGGCTTGCCTTCCAGCAGCTCTTCGTTTTTCTCTCGCATGCTCATCTCCTGCAGCGCACACTTTCCGAGCATTTCGAAGGCCAAGAGCCGATTGACATGGACTCGAAGGTTTCTTGTGTGCTGCTGCGAGGCGGCGCGGTCAGACATGTCTGCAAAGCTGAAGATGAAGTCAACCTGAAGTCCATTTGTAGTTGCAGCGGTTCGTGACAACAGCCGTTCCACAGTCTTCACATGTGCAGGCGACAAGCATGCCTGCTGACTAAGGAGTGTCTGCTCCAGGTCATGTTGATTGCCAGCATTTGTGGAATGGTGTGGTCCCCAGCTCAGGGCCCAGCGAACTCCTCAATTTGAATCCTGCAACTGATCAAAGAAGAAACGTTACCTATATGTAGTCCGCCACAAGTCATGTCCCGCCTCTGATCCTTGTTGGTGTCCATCTTGACGAATAAGCTGCTAACCTTGATTGCGCTTTCGTTGCTTCTCTCCCTGCAAAGGTGGTTGTAACCCTGCAACATGTGCAATTTCTTCAAGACGATGCATGCAGCTTGCTCGACCGTGCTGTTCCGCCAGACCACTAGAACGCTCCATTGTTGGATCTGCCCGTGACCAAGGCTAATGCAGCTCAGGCCACTTCGTCTTCTGATATCGAATTGCAGAGTGCCCTCAGCACCTTTGAGAGCTCCTGCCACCCCAGCATTAAAACACCCTGTTTGTTTGGTGTAAGACTGCAGAGAAATCACCGTGAATCGTCAAAGCTCCAGATGTGCCACCTTTTGCCATGAGCGGGACGAACGGTTGTGACCATGTGACTTCGCCGAGCTACCAGTTTCTTCATTGCAGGTCAGACAAGTCTCCATGCGGCTGATGGAGCCATCCCGGTTCAAGTCGTAGCGGCGAAAGATATCTTTGATCTTTGCCTTGCGTCTTCGGTTGTTGAATTGAAGGCAGTCCAATCGCAGAGCATCATCAGCACAAGAGCTTCCAGGGCTACTCGCGCCAAAAGTGCGCAGGCTGCGCCAGGCAGCTCGGGTCTTTTCTGACAAGTTGCAACCTCTGGTCCTTCGGCGTCCACTGCGCCCGGAGTGCATGCTATGCCATCGAAGCTGACTTCTTCGAGATCTGAGAATTGCAGGCTGCCAAAGTCGGGTCTTCATAGGGTGAAGGCTAGATGTACAAGATGTTTACGATTCCATTCCTGGCAACACTATACCATGCGTTCTTTTTGGACAGGGGGGGGGGCAACTACAAGGAGGCATTATCTTACTCTACGGTGTTGTGTCTACGCATCTTGCCAATCCGTCGTAACGCACGCTGCAGCCAACAAGCTGATCTCTAGCACGCCAATGCCATCAAGATGCTCATAGATGCACAAGGCCCAGGCTCACCAGCGAGGGTGCACTCTCTCGGCCCTCCTATCCGTCGATGTTACGCCAGTTAACCTGCAATGTCTCTGCAAGCGCTGTCTTCTCGTCCACGGAAAGTGCTGGGAAAGATGAAGCACGATGTCACAGCTCTGAATGTGCCCGCCAGCGCATGCATGTTGCTCCCACATCTCTTTGAACCTATGCGAAGCTGCAAATGGATGCTGCATGCACAAAACTGACAATCCTTTCATGCCGGTTTCAGCTCGGAGTTCTTTTGTTTGTTGTGTCGCATTGTTTTTGGGTGCATTGTTTCGCCTCTGTCCTACCGTGTTTGACTGCCTAGCAGCTGCAAATTCCACCGCTTGAAGTACAGGAGTGTTCTTAAGGTTGGAACAGCTCGACTCGACAAGCAGCCGTCTAGTATTGAACTGCTGAATCAGCTCAACGCCTATGTTCTCATATGCTCTCACTCATCCTTGCTGCGACCCTGAATGCTGCCTTTTCTGTCCAGGTCTCGCAGAAGGGCGAGCTTCCGAGAGCAACGCGCCATAAGTCATAAGCATGAAAGGCAGCGCACACAAACTTAACTTCCGGACCGTCAGCTTCTGGAAACACTTAGCACTAGCATGTTTTCCATGCCATCTAAAATGCTAAGGTTTGATAAGTGTGGGAGGGATGGGATTCAGCTAGGACACACAGACACCCTGTGCATGCTGCACGTGCAACCCTGGGGGTTGAATTTGGACATCCGGCTGTGACTTTCACGCATACACAGCTTCTGCATGGCTAGCAGCTAAGATTGGGCAGGACTGTCCACCGAGATAGGGCAGATAAGCTACACATGGCCAGTTCCTGACATTGTGGTCCCTTTTCGGGTACCCCAAATTTCAAGGGCTCCAGTCTAGGGACCCGACAAGGGACCAGGTTTTAGAGGACTGACCATACTACATGCGGGCGCTGCACAGCACCCCTCCGAAGGAGTGCCTGGGCAACGCGCAACTGCACCGAAGAGAAACTCGTGGCACAAAGTTCTGGGACAGCCGATTCGCAAATAGGCTTGCAAGGCGTTGCAAGATCAGGCCTGTCCGTACTCAGGAGGCCAGAAGAATGCCAGCAGCCTGCTCAATCCCACTCGAGGCATTTCGAGGCCAGCGGCTTGCATCGGGTCATGGAGAACTGAAGCTTCCCATGTGTTTCTTTCTCCTCAACAGGATTTGTCTCTTGAATCTGGTGATTTCCCGGCATCGTCCTGTACAAAAGCCGATGTACTTGCGATTTCTGAAAGCGATGCTGGCATCTCAGGGAGGCGTGCCCGGTCTTTGGTGCAGCTGCTTATCTTTTTTGTAATGATGTCTTTGAGGGTTTAGGGTTTAGGGTTTAGGGTTTAGGGTTTCGCCTCTCATGCTAGCTGACACAGGGCTTAGGGTTTAGGGCTTAGGGTTTTAGCCTCCCCCCTCCATGCCAGCACAAAAGCGGCGTGCAGCCAGGTTGTGGGTTCGGCATGCACAGCTGTACCTAAATATATAGTGCTGGTCAGGGACTTGTACTTCCACTTCCGGCCCACGCTTGCGTGTTGACAACCTTGCGAGAAAGACCAGCGCGTGTGCTAAGCCCCATTGCGCTCTCCTGCCTTCCCTCTCTCGGCATGCGTGGCCACTTAGCTCAGCTGTGCTTCAGCGCACGGCAAAGTCGCACTTCAATCGCAGATGACAAGTCTGCTGCCTAATGCAAGTGGTGAGCTTAAGCCTTTAAGCTGAACAGCTACAGCGTGCACTGTATGTCGAGGGCATAGCATGTTCAAGTCTTTTCAATTTGTTATTACTGAGTCGCAGCCGAGGAGGCCACCTGAGACAGTTCTCCTGCAGCCCCCATGGAGTCCCCACGGCGGAAGGCGAGGTACGACTTGCGGAACCTCGCACTGCAGTGTTGAGTGCGGTTGGGCATGGCCAGGGAACGAAGAGCTCACGCCAATGAAGGGGGTCGAACAGTTCGGAAGTCGGCAAGTGCAGGGTAGCTGGCATCTTGAGAAGTCTGCCGACCCTGGGGCGGCGGGTTGGATGAGCGTAGGATCCCTCCCTTACAGCCCCCTGATGGTTCAAAACGGGGAAGGGGGGGGCTGGGTGGCACCCAGGCAACTTTTGCCCGAACTAGCATCTTGTCTTCAATCAACTTTTAATGCTGGGGACTTGCGACCTGCTGGGGACCCCTGCAAGTCTCCTGAGGAATCGTTGGGTCTGGGCCTTTTTCTGTTGGAGGTTCCCCCGAAGACATGTGCTGACGGCTTCTAGGCCTCTTGATTCGGCGGTCTGAGCCGGAGGCTCTTAAACTAGGCACGTGCTGGACAACTGGCATCTCAACAGATCTCAAGACCTAAGCTCATCGCAGTCACCTCTCCAGCTTTCCCCCCCCCCGTTTCGGGCGCCTGTCCATGGTCTCGACGTCAATGCCAAGAACGGCCAGCTTGTCGTCTGACAGGAAAGGCTCCGGGAGCTTGAGGTCGCCAATCTTCACAGCACTTGCATCCACACCTTCAGGTTCAGTCCACTTCCCTGTCTTTCAGAATCTGAAAAAAACTCATGCACAAGAGCATCTCAGATGCAGCGGGTTGTGCTCCCTTTGCTGCTATAGGGCCTCCTTGTGTTGGATGCAACAGCGTTGGGATAAATGCCAGGCCGTCGCGAGTGGCGCGGGAAAGAAGGCGCTCAGCTGGATCCTGCAAGTGGGGCTACACTGCAGCGAAGCGGTACACGCGATTTGTGCCATCTATACGTAAGGCATACAGGCCCGCTACCAGCATAGCAGTCTAACACACTCAAACGCCCCAAGGCTTCCCATACGGATGCCAAGCCTGTTGCACCTCCCGCCACATGCGCTCCACAAACTGCTCTGCAGTACCTCCAGTAGGCTGCGGAGCAGAATTTAAATTCAAAATACAGATGCAAACAGATGTACGGCATTACTATGAAGCTACTTGTAGGTCTTTCAAATTCTTCATGTCAGCGCTTATCCTTCACTTCCAGCTATCCAACCTCCATGGAAAAGCAAGTCGTTGAGTCCTGGCAGCTTTTTCTAGCATGGCCAGCCATGAGCCGATCTTGATGCATGCCCCAGGTTAAACTTAAACTCAAAATATTGGGCAGCATACGATGCCAAGCCGTTCTTTGCTGGACGCACACACGCACTCGTCAAGCTGGGTCCTCGAAGGGTGGGGAGCAAATCAATGGCCAAGCACCTTCAAGTCTTCATTGCTGGAGGGCAAACAAGGGCAAGCACACTGCGCGGTGGCATGCGAACTTCTGAGTCCACCAGGCTGTCTCATACAGCCTGAAGCCGAGAATTGCTTGCCTGGGCTACACCAACGCATCGGCACCTGGATCCATCCGAGCCCAAAGGTACGGGGGCGCAGGCCAGAAGCCTGGACACGAGCGATTGCAAGGCTCGCAGGATGCTGCAACGGATTCAAATGGATTCAAGATGATTCAACTTGTTGCAGTTCTTGCCCAAACTCTTCAGCTCAGATCGATGAATAGCTCGTCCTTTTCGTGTGGAGTGCTAGCAGCTGCAATCCAGCATGCAGCACAGCTGCAGATCTGAACTTTATGCAGACCAGAACTTTCAATTTCTTCGGTGCAGACCTTTAAATTGAAACGAGGGGGGCGTGCGCCGCCCTAGTTTCAGGCCGAGGCTTTCCCATAGGGAGCCTTGTGTTTACTCTCGCGCCTTCTGCTCGCGTTGACCGCCATGGCCATGGAGCAGCAACAGCATGTGCAAAGTTCAGCTCAGGGCACGGCCGGAGGTACTTCCCTTCGGGCACCCTGCCCAGCCCCAAGGACCTGAATGCTGAACAGAACCGTCCAAGCAGCTGTGGCCACCAATAGCCCTGCGGTACCAAGAGGGACTACTTGAGCCTGAAGCGTCAGACAAGCCTCGCCAAGGCTGTCCTGGCTCAGGTCGCAAATCCGTGGAGCCAGCCCATGGATGGCTGAGGATGCGAAGCCACCCACGCCCTCAAGAAAGCTGATGAGATAGCCAAGTGCAAAAATATCAAGCAAGCAGAATGTTGCAGAGAAGCCAGCCACCGCCCGCGCTGCGCGAGGAGCCTTTCCCGACAGTGCAAGGGCAAAGGCTGCCACATGGCCCAGCGGGCAAATGATGGTCATGAGGATAATCATCGTGCGCAAGGCTGCGTCTGACTTTCCCAGCTGGCTGGCACTGTAAGATGCCGGATCGATCAAAGCCCCGGCAAGGCCACCGGTGACAGCATGCAAGTAGTCACAGAACCACCAAACACATATCCCAGCCACCATCAGGGCAGCTGCAAAGCCTTGCAGAGCCACCACTTTGGGAGGTCCCTGGTATGCCCAGTCATTCTCCTTCACCTCCCGCGGCAGCAGCTGCAACAGCAGTAGAATTGCCAGTAGGCTGGAAATCGATGAGATCCACGAGACGTAGGCCCCTGCCTGTAGAAAAAGTCCCATAGACTGCGACAGTCCGAGCGGCAGTGGCACCTCATTGCCCAGGACAAGCATGGTGTTGCTGCTGGTCTCAATCTCCGATAGTGGCAAGCGGCCCAAGACCAGCGCAACAAGCAGCAACCGTCGCCGGTGCTGTGCGAAAAAAGGTGTCATCCACACCAGGATTAGTATGGTGAGGCAAATCGAGGCTCCCCCGAGCGACATGAGGAACCATAAGATCTCACAATACAAGGAGCCACCCAAACCAAACTGAACGCCCGAACCGAAGAAGGTGTACAGGAGCAGGGTGTCATCCTCACAGGGGATGCAGCTCGTGTTGCGCCAGACTGAACATTAAAATACATCAAATTCCAAACCCCGCCATGACCTGGAGCATTGCCTTCAGCAACTTACAATACCTCAACACCTTGTGCAGATAGTTATGCAAAAGCACTCAGTTGCAAACTGTCATGAGCCCGAGTCCTTGAAGATGCTTCCGCTGCTTCCCCGTGTTACATCTAAGCCTGCTGAGGCAGCGGGCAGCCAGAAGGAGCACAAGGCCCTTGAAACCAGGCTCACAGAGATGAGGAGGCTCACAGCCACTGTGCCAGCCTTGCACCAAGCAGTAGGCCAATCCCGCACGCCAAACCAGCATATGCTTGCCAAGGGCAAAGCTGCAGTCGGGGATCGCTGCGCGCACCCATCCTGGTGCAGGAGTTGACCGAAATGAGCACAGAAGGTGGCGGTCAAAGATAGCATCAGCACAGCGAACGCGCTCAGCGCCCAGAGTTGCAGGCTGCTGGCGGGAACGTACCTGTAGCCTAGCGAGTCCCTGTTGACATCCTGGCTGGCATGGAGTGCCTCCGACTTACATTGCTTGAGGGCAGCCTCGCGTGCCCGCTGGTACAAGCGCTCGACGTCCTGTGTTCTTGAGATGCGCTCTCTGACCTGCGCAGCTAGCCTGCAAAGGCGAGGATGCATCTCGCACAATTCCTTCAAAGGCTCCTCTGGCAGGCCACCGCTTGGCCTCACCTGGACATCACCACCGCTATCCCAAGTTGCATTGACTTCCTTCACGTCAAACCTTGCCAAGGGGGCCAAAAGTGCACACGCTGCGCTAGACGGCAGCTGCAGATCCAGCAGGCTCCAGAGGTCCAGCATGACATCTACTTCCATGTCGGCGGCACCGCAAGGCACGATGAAGCTGGCCACGCCATCGCCTCGAAAGTCCCCGGCCACCAGTGATGCGTTCACGCCAAGAGCTGGACGCCACCCACTCTGAGCTGTGGGACACTTCACAGCAGCACTCATGCCCAACCAACTGGGGTGCGCCTGAGACGGGACAAGCACTCGAAGTGTCTGGACCTGATCCATCCCCTCGGCAAGGAGCTGCTTGAGTTTCACTGCAGCATTCAGCGGAAGCTTCAGACTCGGCATGTCGGGCAAGCCCTGATCCAAAACCGACGTGTTTTGTGCGAGAAACCCGTCCAAAAAGTTGTCCAACCAGCTCCTGAAAACGTTGTCGAACACCGGCGGCCAGTTGCTGTAGTTCTGAGGCACCATTGCGCGAATCTTCTGTGATGCCATGGATGCGTCAATACAACCACCAGGCTTCATCTGTGCCTTCAAGGCTTCATTCAGCTTCGCGAGGAGCACTGACGAGCCGGCGGCCCGCTGGATAGCCGCTGGCAGCAGTGGTTCATAAACCTGATTGAAGAGAGACACGACGTTGTTGAGCAGGGCAGAGATGGACGCCTCCAAGGCCCCGGTTGTTTGGGCCTCGTTTCAGGGAACCGACTTGGAACCGTACCTGTTCTCTTTCCGAAACAATACTCTTACGCTATGTTTGCGGGGGCCACGACAGTAACCTGCCTGCCTCAAAGCTCAGCGGCGTAGCAAGCCCCACGAACTCCGCCTCCAGGCTCACGACCCTTGGTGCGGACTGGAAGATGCTCGTAACACATTGCCGAGGTTCAAGGACAAATTGCGCCAGGGTGTGGCGACCTGGCCACTGGTCGGCCAGGACTAGCACTGCGCTGGTAACATCCAGGGAAGGCTGCTGCAGCCCGATGTGCAGCTTCATCTGCTGAAGAACCGACGCCTGCGGCTTCCCAGTGGCTAAGGAAACAGCCTCCAGATTGACTTTCATTTCAACGCCGAGTCCAAGAGCGGCACCCCAGCCAACCTTGAAGCGGAGCTGATCAGGTCCGACAGCTTGCACTGGAGAGAAGGTCGACATCCCATCTGCTCCCTCAATGACTGCTTGCACCAAGAAAACTTCGAGCTTCAACTCCAGGCCAGCATCTGGCTGCTGGATAGTGGTTGTCATCACAGGCTTGGCCGGCCCTGGGATTGTTGTCGGGAGGCCCTTCGATGCCCAGCGTAGTGCCTGGTCCAGACGCTGTGGACCCAAAACATCGTCCAGCAACCAGGACACCCAGTGCAGTAAGTGGTCTTGCGTCCAGTCCACGGTGCCAGCGTTTCCAGCAGTCTGGAACAGGCGGCGTTCCACCCAACTTGCTGGAATCGGCTTGCCTTCGGGCATAGCCTCCAAAGGCCCCAGGGCTGCAACTGCAAGGCCTCCGACCGTCACCTGCAAAGCATTCGCTCCTTTTGCACTTCCTTCATCTCCTTCACTTCCGGCAGGCTGGCTCTGTGGCGCCACATGGGGCCCGCTGCCAAAGCCTGGAGGTAGCATCAGATGGTTAAAGGCCGCCAGCTTCTGAGTGAGTGGCCCAGCTGCTAGCTGCTTGAGCTTGTCACATGCTTGGCGGACAGCTAGTCTCTCGATCAACGCTGACACAGGCGCCGAAAACAGGTTTATGATCCAGTCAATGATGGAGCCTCTCAACGTAAGCTTGAAGGCCAAGCTAGCCGAACAGCTCGCAGCGTCGACAGCCCAAGGCAAGTTCTTCTCAAAGCTGCTTCCTTGAAGAACAACCGAAGCCGAGGAGGCAGAGTTGCTGGAGACTGTGGCTGTCAACACCCCAGAGCCACTAACCACCTTGTAGCCGTTATATGCGAAGTGCCCGGCACACTGAATACCTATACCATCCAAGGTAACGGACAAGCCCACTCCCTGAACAGCTGATTGGATGTCTGTCAGCTGCAAGTTCTGGCAGACCAGCTCCGTGACGTGGAAGGTAATGCCTGCTTTCTCCTGCGTGACATCCTGCAGGTTGAACTTCAGGTCATAGAGCCACTGCGCCAGTGGATCCGAAGCTGGTGGTGGATCTCGCACTCGCTGTGCTGCCACACTTGCCAGAAGCACCATCCCCCTCCATCCTAGCAGCGCACACCAAGACCCACGCCGCATGACGCCCTACACGGGAGGCTCTGCCTGAGAGGGGTTCTCACTCCCGCTTGAGCCCAAAAATATGCAGCTTCTTGCTGCCGCTCAGCAGCTCCCTTTCGACAACCTCATCTCGCCTCCCATATCCTTCGTTTAACCCTTTTTACGGTTTATTGGGTCTATAGTCAAGCAGCCCCCGGTATCCCCCAATCTTCGCTGGGCTGTTTAATTTTCGGGTTCTACATCGGGTTCTACGGAACCAAGGGTTCGGAAGCCGTCGAAATGAAAAGAAGGTTCTTGCCAGGGAGCGTGGTGAAGGCCCTGACCGCTGAGACGCCCTGAATAACACCTTTTCCAGGCCTCGGAGAAATCGAACTGTCAACTGAGACTAGCCACATGGTGAACATTGGCGAAGTACATCGCTCACCGTCTACAGCATCGCATGCGAATCACGTGGTAGGGAAGGCAGGTCTTTCGGGCTCAGTGGGAGCTTGGAACGGGCTCTCAACCCCAATGCCAAGCTCGTAGCACGTTGTCGCCGTCGGAGGGGGCTATCGAGCCAGATGCCACTTGCCGTCCATACCTGCACCGCGGCATCATCATCGTCATCATCATCGTCATCATCATCGTCATCATCATCGTCATCATGATCCAGAACTCTGTATGTCATTCCTCATTCGGCTTGCACCCGAGGCACCAAGCATTTCGTCCCGCCAACATCGTCACATAGGTGTCCTAAGGGCACTGCAGCCAATTACGTCGGAAACTGCTGCAGCAACAGCAGCACAGTTTTACCATGTCTTGTTGCATGCTTGCTTGTGATGATTTTGTTGTTCTTCTCTCTCCATTTACTGATTCGTGTATGTGCCTCACCCCGACGATCGCAATCGATCCAATAGCAACCAAGTCTCAGCCAGGAGCGGACCTGACAGGGTTTCTGGCCTGCGTGACAAGACCTGCAGAGTGAAAACATCAACGAAAGAGGGAGTCAAGAAGTCCAGCAAGACAAGCTGGCCCATCAAGGGCAAAACCGATGTGCTCTTTCAGGCCAAGGGGCATGCGTGATGAATGTCATCTCCTGGTAGAGACACTGGTAGAGAGCTTGCTACTAGTGGCACGTGCAGCACACACACACACACACACCAGAGGTGACAAATACGAAAGGGCGGATGAAGCGCATGAACTGAACTGTATGCGACCGAAGGTGCGGCGCATGCGTTGCTAAAGTAAACGCTATTGGGCGTAGCTCCGTGCTTGCAGAACTCATCCACCTGAAGTAGACCAGGGAGTGCGATGGCGGCTTGACTCAGCTTGACATAAGCCTGACGGTGACACACTGTGACTGCGCTTAACGGACTGTCAACGTCAGCGCATGCTTAACGCGTCATCCTCCAGATCTTGACGTCAGCATCCAATGATCTAACGGCATGCCAATCATCGCCAGCGCACGACCCCAGCTCCGATGGCATACACGTTCTTAAGTCCTGTTCACACCATCAGTTCACATGCACATGCTTGTGCTATCTTGTGCTGGCCCTGCATGTTGCATTAGAACCTGCACTGGAGCAGTCTCGCAGCAGACCCCGAGAAGGATCGGTCATTTGTCTGCGACGGCTTTGAACAGCAACACAGCGCAGGCGACAAACATCAGTGGCTGACAGACTTGATTGGCGCCCCCGAGGTCCTCCCATGACCTCGTGTGTGATGACATCCCGATTGTGCCAAACACCTGTGCGCCAGCAAACTCTTGCTGCAGTTGGTACAAATACGATCAAGCTCTTTCATGGCTACTACGTTCGGTGTGGTGTGGGTGTCTTGAGTCCCAACTACAGTCGAGGCCGAAAACCCACACAATGCCAGGAGCGGAAAGTCTTCAATGCCGGCGACGAACTATCTGCACAACAGGGGGCTCATCTGCGGCTGTTGAAACATGGCGGCCAATGGCGTTCTGAACTCGTCAGCGCCGCACAGCCTGGAAGAGAATGTAGTTTAGGGTTTAGGGTTTAGGGTTCAGGGTTTGGGGTTTGCAGTTTGGGGTTTAGGGCACTACTGTCAACTGCTGTCTTTGGACTGTCTTTAGTCCCTGGAGCTCCTCGCCGTGGCATACTCCCCGTTCCAAATCTCGCGCGCAATGTTTGGCCCACCAAAGTAGAGCAGCCGATCCTTGCCACATGTCCACTGCATGCCAGGCCTATGAGCTCAGGAAATTGCACTCAAGCACTACTGCCTGGCAGGCCTGCACTCTATAGTCGCAAAACTTTGGAAGCGCTTGCGAAATATTGCTCGATCTCCCCGTGCGCTTGCAAATCTTGGCCGAGTATCCAATGGCAGACCGGTACCTCAGTGAATCAGGGCCTGCCTAAGATGGATACCCTATAGGGGTGGGGGGGTGGGGGGTCAGATTCGGGGGATTCTATTTTCATTTGGGGTATGAAGTATGAAGTGGGATCTTTTGGGAAACGAACAGGGGTTTAGGGTTTAGGGTTGAGGGTTGAGGGTTTAGACGTATTCTGCATTGACTGGCGGGTCGTTATCAGATCTCGGCTCTGTTTTGCCACGAGATGCACTGCTGGATCAGGCGCGTGGGCGTCAGGATGTGCGGAGCCGGATCTGCCAAAAACCTCTTAGGGTTTAGGGTTTAGGGTTTAGGTTTTAGCCTTGAAGTGGAGTAAAATCACCGAACAGCAAACCGTTTCGCAAGAAAACCAAGACACTAGTTCCGGGGATTTCGGGCAACCAGTTATCTGTCAGCTAAGAACCCTTAGGGCACCTTTGTGCCGGGTATGTGCGCGTGGCCAGTTTCTTGACATCTGGTTCAGCGCTAAACCCTAAAACCTAAACCCTAAACCTGAAACCGACTCCCCGAATGCCATGCTCACATGCTCACTTGTGCGGGGAGGCTCCACATTCCAGGGGTTTTGGGTGTCAGGTTGGGATGTTCCCCTTTATACTAGCAATCCTTAGTTACACTGGCAGTCCTTAATAGGGATTATAGTACTATATCCCTATTCAGGACTGCTAGCATAAGCCTGACTGTCTGCGTGTGCGGGTTTGGCCTAGCGCCTAGTGTTACAAGCGCACGGTTTCTTCTTCCAGAAACGGGTAACTTACTTCGAATGGTTCTGAAAGTTCAGGAACTTTCACCCTACTTCCATGAAACCATGGAAGCCCAGGCACTCCACACCTTTGGATAGGGAAACCACAAGCGGTGGATCCTCGTGGGACGCAAGCTTCAACGACCCAAACCGCTTGGACCCCCCCCCCCCTGGACCCGGCGCGCGCCAGCGTTTACAACAACACACAGTCGCCATGCCACCCTCTGTCGACTCTCTCTCCTGGTGCAAGGCCATGCTAGGAGATCATAATACTGCTAGCTCGTGGTTGTGAGAGAAGCTCGCCTACAGGGCACCACCTACAGCGCCAAGTGCGTGAAAACCCATTCGCACTGGTCCTTCTGCCGCTCGCCGAGGGCTGCCACTAAAGGGGCCCAAACCTGAAAACCGAAAGGGAAGTCAAAGGCCTAAAGGCTGTCGTGCGGCATGGCTCTGAGTGTGATGAGGGTCGTGTCAATGGGCATTCGCAGCCCAATCCTTTTGGGTCCTAGAGCCCAGCTCAGCAGCCTCGAGGGTGGAGGTGCTGGGCACGCCGTTGATCAAGATGTCCGCCTCTCTGGCTGCATCCTTGTGAGGAGCCCAAAGCACACAGAACTGCACACTGCGGAAGGGTTCTCTGGACAATTGGCGGGCTGGTGCCCGACAGTCCTGCATGTTCAAGCACAGCTCCATCGGCAGCAGCATGGCACCATCCAAAGTGTCGCAGAAGCCGTCCTCCCGTGCTCTCAGACTTCGCAACAAGTCTTCAGCAGGCTTCTTTTTAGATTTTCGTCTCTGCGCCTTCAGCGCCTCTTCGGCTGTGAGAGGAGGGTCGAGCTCCCGTCCAAGCGATGCATCCACATAGCGGAGCAACCTCTCAGCATTCCACATCGCTTCTTTTAAGACTGCCAAGGTGCAACTATCTGGGCTTTCAGGTGCAGAGCACGAGCCTCCCGTTGTCTCGGAGCCTTCGCAGAACCTCGTCATTGGCGTTGATCTGGGCTAACCTGGATTCGCCAGGTGCCATGGGCATAGAGTCTCCGGAAAAAATCCCCAAAAAGATCTTAAAAGTTGACCCCAACATCACAAGTGCGGCATTGCTGACGAGACTCAACTTTGAGGCTTGCTCAGAGGTGAGTCGCTTGCCCGACCGGCGCCACATTCGTACGCGGAGGTGCTGAGGGAAGTCTGCATATTTTCCTCCGGCTCATCATGGCAGTCGGATTCCCGTGGACTCATCAGCTGCCCCTAAACCCTAAACCCTGAACCCTGAACCCTGCTGCAAAAGCCCTACAGTAGCCTTTAAGACAAGGCAGGGTGCGCTTTAACAAACAGGCAAAGACGGCGGCCCAGGCCCCAGCGCCGACACTGACGACCTCGAGGCAGTCCTCTGGATTTTTGTTGGGCTGAACCCCTCGGGGCCGCAACATGGGAAGGTCGGGGTTTAGGGTGTTGGTTTTTATTGTTGCCACCCTTCCAGCACTCGCGCACACCGCGGGGACTACCTCAGAGGGTCCACACTGAACAACTGCTTGAAAAGCGCTACGTCGCAGGCTGAAGTCAAGATGCCCAGACCACCAGGGTTTAGGGTTTAGGGTAAGAAGCCGCATAGCTCGCTCTTGAGGAGCTCTGATGGTGATGCTACATAGCTACAAGAAGCTCATACCTCGCTCTTGAGGCGCTGTGATGGTGGGCGTATGCTACATACTAGTAGCTACTAGATGGCAACAGCAGACCAGTGAGACTGACGGCCAAACCTCGATGCCTCTCTTTACTGGATATGGCTGCCACACGAGGCCGCCTTCCCAGAATGGTCCAACTCGTGGCACAAGCGGCGCAAACACCCCAGGAATCCTTGTCGCTTCTGCCCAGCACGCGCTTCAGGGCCATAAGCTCACCCAGCAGGTCTTCCGCCATGGCCACAAAACGAACTCTAGATCCTGAATAGTCCCAGTCTCAACCCAAGAGACTGAAAGTGCTCTGCGTTTGGTTGCAAAGTGTGATCGCGACTGTGGGCAGAACGGCAGCAAAGTTCAGCAGCACATGGCGCATGACGGAGGCCTTGGGGTTTTACCCGCATGGTGCATGTGAGCCACAGACACAGGGATGCCTGGTCTCCACTTCCAAAGGCCTCGGCTGTCACAAGGCTCAGCTAGCTAGTTCGCCTCGTCTTCTGGCCGAGAGGCATCTAGACTCTAGAACAAGCAGACCAGGATCTGGGCGCCTCCAAATGTTCCAAGAAATTAGCTGCACCCCCCCCCCCCCCCCCCAATTTCGCTCGCTGTGGGCCCCTCCGCAGACCACACAAAACACGAAAGACCGCGAAGCCCCTGTGGCACTGGCCCCCCTGACCCTAACCCCCTTCAAACCCCACAAACGGTGCTGCACGGACTTGACATTGGACTTGGCTTTCCTTCGTCTGCGACGCGCACGCTAAACCCCGCGTTGGGCCGGCCCGGCTGCCGAGGCGGCGTGCGTAAGCGCTTACAATGACGTTGGAAAACAAGAGTAGCACAAGTCACGTTTAAAGGCTAACTTCCTCAGTTCTTGAAAGAGCTGTTTCTGACTCGTGCTTTCTCGTCGTGGACTCTTCAATGGCGTGGTTAAGCTGGTTTCGAGTCTCCTTTTCGAGCGGCTGGAGTCCCGAAGCTGGGAGTGCTCTGATCGCTGAACTCCTGAACCGCAAGTACTTCAGAGCGCCACGGACGGCCTATTGACCTGCTGCATGCTCTGGCAAATTTGGGTGGGCTCAGACTCGACTTGAAGTTCACCCTTAGCCAAAAGCTTCAGGGCGGTACATGCAATCCTGACCAGCATGGCAGACTCCTCATCGTGACTCCACGAGAGTGGACCACCCCCGGCAGCGTCCCCACCTGGTTAGCAGCGAAACGCCCCTAGACCATATGGGAACACTTGCTTAAAGAATACAGACCTTAAAATCCACGAACCAGCACACTGTCTCAGAATCCCAGCAGCCTCGGGATGCAGTACGTCCATCGAGAGGGAAAGGAGGAAGAAACGGGGAGAACAAAAGACCAATACAATACTATGTGAGTATAACTGTGAGAACCTGGCATTGCTCGTGTCCATCTCTTTAGGTTTGACATGTTACAGTCAACCCAGAACTGCCGTCTGAAGATCTTCTTTCTATGTCCGTGTCTCCGAATGCACACAAACCCTGGTTACAGCTCTCAGTGTCTGCGAGATGAGGGCCAAACAAGCGCTGAAGGGAAGCAGCCTCAGTCAGAGCTACTCCATGCAAAGCCCTCGCATTTGTGGCATTTGTGGTGGGGGACTGCGGCTCTCCCAAAGTCAACATAGCTTCTGCCAAGTTGCCAGGCACGCTGCTGCTTTGCGAAGTCTAGCCTGCCGCGTCCGAAGAGTCTGAAAGATAGCCAGCCCAAAGAGTGCTGCTCTTTTTACAGTCAGCGCATAAAGACACCCATTCTTGCGCGGCTCTTCTTCTTCTTCTTCCCAGAAGGCATGGCCCCCTACCCCACCCCTGCATCCGCGCGTGCTTGGCCCCCTGTGTCCAAGTCCTGTTATTGGCCGGGCTGTTTTGGCGCTTTGCTGTCGGGCACACGCGTCTATCCCCGAGTTTTTGGAGGCAATGCTGAGGGCTGAGCTAGTCTCGGGCACTCATGCCTGTGGTAGCTCAAGCCAGCACAAGGCCCTTGAAGCAACACAGAAGAATCCCCCCCAAAGAAACCCAGGGCAACCTCACCCGAAGACCTCCCCTTCACAGCTCCGAACTGACCCTACAACTGCGACTCTTATCTCGATCTTTTTCTTCGTTTTCTTCTTCTTTTCTTCTTCGTCTTCTCCTCCTTCGTCTTCTTCTGCTGCTGGCCTGATTCCTTCCCCATCTCTGTCTCTCTCGCTCTCTCTATGCCTCACTCACCCTCTCTCTCTGAGCCCTCGTGTCTCATAAGGGACTTGCATGGGCAAAGCAGGATCAATCCGATGCGTTTGCGTTTGCCGCTTCGCTGTCCATCAAACTTGCCTGCTCTGTGAAACAAGCACCCATGGACTCGCCCAGAAAATACGCAAGTCGGAAACGGATTCATGCTCGTTTCCTGCGCTGTGCGAGCGAGCAATCGGTCACTAACTGGAAACAGCATTTCAAGTCTTCAAGTTCCGGCTTCAACGAGTTACTACTGGCAACAAAAAGCTTACTCGTAATGTCGATGGGAATCTTGCACTCACGGGGTAATGACCGCTCACATCCGCTGAGCATGCTGCGGAAACTCTCTTTAAGATCGGCGCAGCATGGGGAACCCATTCACCATCTTGGAGTGGCGGCGGGCATCTGCTTCCAACTCTTGAACGCTAGCGACCACAGAAGCCTTGAACCCAACTCTACACCCTAAACCCTAAACCCTAAACCCACATACACCTCCCAAAACCTCACCGTGACAGAACCGATCCTGCATCTGCTGGGATGAAAACGATCAGGCCGCGCTTTCTTTTTTTTACTGCCGAATGCCTAGGTAACTTAACAAAACAATCTCAACTTCCCTTTCAGGACGATGGATCCCCAAAACAAACTCTTCCCTTCCGAAGTGCGGCACAGGCCCGCCCAGATTTTCACTCCAAAGCCCATTTCAGAGAGCTTTGGGCCACTGGGGGCTTGGCAAAATCTATCAGGAAAGGCATGCCACGTTGCTCACATGTGGGCAGGCGCGTTCCCGAATCCAGGGGCCCACACACGTCGTTGGAGTGAGCCAGATTACTACAACCCGAGAACTTTTAGGAACCGGGTAGTATTTGGCGGTACTGTGGTAAACCATGCATACAAGACCATACATACAAGCGAGCGACCTACATTTGAAAACTCGGAGTGGACCTAGAAATCACAAGCTCTTCATCGTTCATGTGCTCATTGATGTTGGCAAAGAGAGGCGTCGAAAAGTAGCGCTCGGCCGTGTCCGCGAGCAACACAAGCAGAACTGACCCTTCAGGGGCTCTCTTGGCCATCTCGACAGCTGCATGCATGGAAGCTCCTCCCGAGAGGCCCGTGAAGATGCCCTGAGTCTTCGCGAGCATCTGTGACATGGTCACGGCCGCAGTGCCTGACACTGCCACGTATTCGTCATAGCCTGGATTCTTCACACCATCCTCGACAATCTTGGCGATGAAGTCGGGAGTCCAGCCTTGAATGAGATGAGGAGCGAAGAAGGGGTGGGAGGTTGTGGCAGAGCCATCCGCGCGCCGCTCCGTTTTCTGCCCAGATGCCAGCAGAGGCGCCTCCGCAGGTTCTGCCAGGCAAATCTTCACCTCAGGACGGTGCTCACGCAGACGTCGCCCTGCGCCAACAAACGTCCCACCGGTCCCGTAGCCCAGAACGAGGTAGTCCAGCTGCGCGCCGTCAAAGTCACTGAGTATCTCCAATCCAGTGGTGTTATAATGAAACTGATGATTCGCTTCGCTTTCGAACTGGTGACACAAAAACCACCCATGTGCTCTGGCCTCAACAACTCAGGCTTGGATAGGCCGGAGCCATGCCGTGACACATCGTTCTTAAATTAGCGCTGCTACACTGACTCACTAGCGTCAAGCAAAGAGAACAAGCCAGAAGAGTGCTTCTTCCCAGGGCAGAACATGCAAGAGATTGCGAAGCCTATTTCGACGAGGCGCTAGCTCCTGAGCCTTGATCACCATGCCGGTACCTTTGCCGGCCCGTGGCGTCACGATGACTCGGGCACCCAAGTAGCGCATAAGCTTTCCTTAGCGATGCTCAGAAAAACTCCCTGAGACTGTGAGAGATCTCGGAGCGTTGAGTTGCAAAACCGATGTCGAAGAACCGTCGCAACCACTAAGGCATTATTTGTCCGAAGCGTCTTTGGCCACCCGTCTACTGTAGCAGCGCACTACGGGGTTGCAAAGGGTTCAGAGCTTCGACGCTCACTCTCGCACAAGGCTGGCTAGGTCTCTGACTGAGTCATTGCATCAAGTCAAGCTCACGACTACTCGTCGGGGCGAGAGGCATCCCGTAAAGTGACCAACTCACTTGCTCCCCCCCCTACTCTTGAGATCTTAGCGCCGCTATAACACCCCTGCCACGTAACAACGATCTGTACCAGAAACACCAAAGATCTAAACCCCCCCCCCCCCCCCCCCCCCCCCCCCCCCCCCCCCCCCCCCCCCCCCCCCCCCCCCCACAACCGAACATCGACCATGGCCATGGTGGGCACCCCCACTATTCCAAACACTTCCTCGCTACCAACTCACGGCGACTTCTTTAGAAATGTCCAATGGCATCGACTGGATGGCACATATGTGTTCTGTAGCATGCACGAAAAAAAGCTGGGAGTGTTGAGTTTAGGAAAAAATTTGCCGCCCGCCCAGAACTCGCTTCTTTTCCAAAACGGGATGACTTATACACCCAACCAGATTGCTGCGCGAGCATCGTCTCTCCACAGAAAAAGATTCCGCCATGGTAATGACCTCAATGCCAGCGGCCATGCCAATGCTTTTTTCCGGGATGCCAACCTGTCACTTTTTAGATTAGGCACCTCGTGGCTGCTGCTGAGTTGAAGAACAGATTGAAAAAACAGAGCAGCAGCCCCCAGAATGCAACACAAAGATTGTCTTTCTGCTGTGCACTCTATCCACAACACAGGAGCCCGACTCCACCTGACCTTTTTTGCAAAAGGCCTCCACCTGACCGGAACAGCCTACTGAATCATCCGAGGCGAGGACGCACTTGTAGCCGCGCTGTGCACATACCATCGCTAAGGCTATGCCTCTGCAGATGCAACGACTTGATGCAAGCTGAAGTGGCTCACATTGCGAGCAATGAAGCGGTTCAAGCCAACTGGGCACTTTCAAACCTACCGGTACCCTGAGCAGGCGCTAAACACGTACCACCGGGCGGATTTCTACTAGTTAAGGCAGCGTGTCTCGGCAGGCCTGTGTTTCCTGAGGTCGCCTCCACCACCGTGTCTCCGGGTTTGATGAGTCCTCGGCCTTGACAAGCTGGGAGCGCAAGGGATGCTTGATGAGCAGCGATTGCAAGTGCTGTCCTGTGATACTTTGGTGTGCACACCAAGACGCGTTCGGCATCTTCGATGATGCCGCACGCAAGTCGGTCCTCCACCAACAAGGCTACCAAGTTGCGGCTGCCTTGCGCAGATGACTGGCTCAACACTCACGAGGCCCATTCCTTGACACTCGATAGCGGATTGAAGTACTCGAGCTTGGCGAAAATAGTCCGACCTGACACGGCAGTCATAGGATTGTAGCATTGTAGCAAGCAAGCGATACAAACTTTGCTGAAGGGGTTCTGTGCCCAACAACGACCTTGCTGTCTCTGCGTGCAAATGGGCCTGGCCTGGAGGACAAATAGCCTTGGAGATTCGGATGCACGGCGTGTCCCCCACGGTCTCGGTGATCTGGGCGTGCCACGGCCCCGGGCAGCTTGAGGAATCTTTTCGTGGCCATTATTACTTCATATGCCTGCCGGCGTGCTCTGCACGCTCCCGCCATTCTGGACCGTTTTCCAGACTTGTCGTAATATGGTGATAGTTTGGAATGCTGCCCCTTATACTAACAGCCCGTAATAAGGATTACAATAGGGGGTACGATAATCCCTACTAAGGACTGTTAGTATAAGGGGGGGGGGGGGGGGGGGGACATCCCAAATTATGATGATGACCCTGGAGCTGCAGACGTGCAAGAATGAATATATCAACAACCAGCCCTTGGGCAAGCCTTTGGGCTGTGGCCAAGCCTTGGGCACCTGTCACCCTAAACCCTAAACCCTAGTTAATCTCTTTTGAACCCGAAACCCTAAACCCTAAACTCTAAACCCTAAACCCTAAACCCTCATTCTGCGCTAACCCCTCTGCTCGCCAAGGCACATTGTTGTAAAGCCGGCCTCGGCCTTTGCCACGGTCGCGCGTGCCCGCCAGAAGAGACAGTCCCTTTGTCGACAGGCAGCCCCAACATGACATGGCGCGGTAAGCTCCGGCCCACAATTTTAAAAATAGAAACCAAGCTTGCCACTCATGGTTAGTCGTCCGCATGGGCTGTCTATTGTGATGCAAACAGCAGTAGAACAGCATGTTTGTTGCGCAGGTGACTACCTCGTGTCTGGGACTCTAGGAGCGGCTGTCGCCAAAGCCACGGGGACGCAGAAGCGTCAGCAAGTCATGATCCTTAAGGTCCTTAACAAAAGCTATTTAAAGATCCTACAAGCACACCTACACTTGCCGTATGTTGCGATGAGTT